CACCCCACCCCCCGCCAGCCCTACCAGACTGAACATAGCCGTGTCCTTGGCGTGTCGGTGTCCCTGCGGGCTGTAGTGGCGGTTCAGGGCGGACAGGTGGGGACCGCCCGCAGCACCCGCGCGAACCGCATACTCGTTGAGACGCTCCAAACTGTGCCTGTACGGGGAGTGCGGAGGGTGGATGGCGCGGGTGGTAAGGGTAGGGTGGTGGGCGAATTTCATGGTTTGCCCGCGCGGGGGGGGGGGGGCGGAGGTTGAAAAGTGTGGGAAAACCTGCTCCTTCGGCAACAAAAGTTATTTTCATTTAGAGACTTGCATAAACATTCGTACATTTGTCACTTTCTTCACCATTTTTAATAAGTATAAGAGATACCAAGTATTCCTTGTTCCCAATTTTCCGTACAGACACACCAACGACGGACGTGCCTGTTCAGGATATCCTGCAGCGGCTCCCCCGGACCCCGCCAGGTTAGGAAACCCAGAGACTGCAAACTGTTGATACCCATGTTGAAGAGCAGCGGAGTAAGACCGTACGTGGCGCCGCAAAAGGTCGCCCGATCAATTCCCGCTTCCGACAGTGCGGTGGCGGAGACGCAGTCCGTGGGCAGCGACACGGTGATGCAGTTGCCGCTGACGTGGAGGGGCAGGACCTGCCGGGAAGGGGGGAGCGGGAAGGGGAGCGAGGGGGGAAAGGGTTTGCAGCGGGAGGGGCTTTAGGGAGCTTGGTGCGAATTGCGGCCGATGGGAAAAAGAAGAGGAGAGGAGAGGAGAGAGTGTGCGTGTGTTCGCTTGGTGTGTTTTCCCTCTCCTTTCCTCCGTTCCCGTTACTTTCCCCCAAACCGCCTCCCCGCCTCTTCCATACACATCACCCTCCTACCCCACCCCACCCCATCCCCCTTCTTTCGGCAGACGATTGCTTTTTTTGTGCATTTCAGCATTAAAAACCCCCAACACCCCTCCACCGCTTCCTTCTCGCACTCGTTGCCAGTTGCCACTCACCCCACACCGCCACACACCCCTGGGATGCAAACCTTTCCGCCCACCTCCACATCCCCGTCCCCACAAATCCCCACCTCCCCAATCAGGACCCCTTCTTTCCTTCCTTCGTTCCTCAGCTTTGCCCTCCCACACCAGCAATCCTTTGCTAACCCCGGGCCCCCCCCTCCCCCCCCACGTCTCACCTTCTCACTGCCCTCCACAAACCTCACCGCCAGCTTATCACCCAGGGCATCCAGCGCCCCCTTGGTGTCCTCAAGATAGCCCCGCTCATGGCGATGAAGGTCCGACAGCAAACTCTGCTGTACATGCAGGAAAGATCCTGTACGGCAGGCGGCACGGAGACAAGCCGCCGAGCCGCACATGAGGCGGAGAGACGCAATCACGACGGGAAGAGCCTGGAGGTGGAGGTGGTGGTGGAGGTGGTGGTAAAAAAGGGTCGGAGGAGGAGGAAGGGGGGAGGAGGAGGGGGGGGGGACGCGAAGGGTTTGATGTGTGTGTGTGTATGGGGGGAGGGGTAGGATGCCAGGTGCGGGAGGCGAGGGGGGCAGTGCAGCATGTTAAGCAAGGCAGGTGTACGTACGTATGTACGTTCCTATACATGTACGTTTTGTATGTATATACGTACGTATGTATGTACATACGTATGGATATATATATGTACGTACGTATGTATGTGCTTTAATGGCGATTTGAGCTGCGGCCAGGATCCGGCGAGAACTCGGCAAACCACCAGAGAGCGCAACTTCACCGGAGGCAGTGGCGCCTGTGTGACCCCGCATGTGAAGGGGGGGAGCGAGGGAGCGGGAGAGAGAGAGCGGGAGGGAGAGGGAACTAAACCCCGGGGCCCCTCACCCTTCATCTACCCTCCATGTCCCACTTGGGCAGACAGATATCGGAAATTCCACCAACCACCCGGCACCCGAATCAAACCACCACCACCACCACCATCACCATCACGTGGGCGCGGCCGCTTGTCGAGCCAGAAGCCCTAATCGGCCACGTTCCCCCTCCCCCCCTTACACACCTCCACTCCAGATCAGATCGGATTAGATACTCCGTACACTATCACAATGTCAATAATGCACAACGTAATAAATGCTTTTTAAATTCCTTCCGCCCTTGTACACCCCAACACACACATACCCCAACACACACAGGCCTTTCTATTGCTTCGGAACTTAGAGCCCACCGCCCACCGCCCCGGGGGCCCCCGCACCTGCGCCACGCACAACGCCTTACGCAGCTCCACCTCCGCTCTAAGTTCCTCCGGATTGCCGTACCCCAGTCTCCCCAGGAGGGCCCCCTGCTCCGAAGCCGGCAGCGCATGGCACGCCGTGTACACCGCGGCCAGGCGAGACAGCCCCACGCCGCGAGGGGACCGGCCGTGCGCCGCAAATGCCCCGGAGCGCGGACACGAGTACACAGCCTGGAACACATCCAGCGCGGCCGTGGGGTAGAGCATGATGCAGGTCGATGGCCCTGACGCCGCCGTGAAGGATGGCGGCTTGGCGCGCAAAGTCTGCTGTTGACCGCCGCTATTCCCGCCGCCGTTACTGCTGCCACTGCTGCCCTCGGCGCTGCTTCTGGACGCAACGTAAGATGCCGCCTGGGCTGCGGCCGCTTTCTTCGAAGGATTAACGGGCGGAAGTCCGATGGCTCTTCGAGAAGCAGTAGCTACCAGTCCCAGTACGAGACCGAACGCCTTACGGGAGCCGGTGGGGGGAGCTGGGTGGCTGGCGGCGGGGGTGGTGGTGGTGGTGGTAGAGGTGGTGGGCTGCGTGCTGTCCGAGTCAGCCGCGGCTCCGAGGTTCTTCTGTTTCCTGGCTCCCTACACGTGCAGTACCACACCCCCACACACATCGGCGCGCATTCAATTCAGGTGCACATTCACAGCTGTGGAACATGCGGGGGAAAGGGACGAACCACGAACGAGTGAAGCTGCTGGGAATTCAGAGACCAGCACCATCATCACCACCCCCACCATCAACAGCACATCCAGTGGAATCTCCCCCCATACCAACGGCGGCGCCACCTCCCCCCCCTCTCCCGGTGGTAGGTCGCAGGTCCCTCCTCACTCTAACCGGTCGGCCCATCGCACCGTCCACTGGCAGGGGGTGGTGCATCCATCGGCCCACCTGCGGTTGAGCAATTTTCTACCCACTCTCGCTCTTCATCGGGATCGATCCCGGAGCCTTTAGGGACACTATGCCGCGCCTCGCCATGTCTGTAATGTACGTGTGTATATAGCAGCAGCAGCACCACCACCACCACCACCACCATACAAACCAGCTTCAGCGCTTGTCCAGCACAAATGATCCAAACCCCAATAGGGGATACGTTCTTATCTTCCAGTTCACCGGGCAGTGCCCCGGAGCTCTCCCCCCCGAAGGACCCACCCCTAGCAGCTCCTCCGTGTCAGCCTCGTCACCGCCGCCCTCGTCCGAGCTGACCGAGTCCCCGTCACCACCACCACCGCCGCCGTTGCGGTGGGCTCCTGCGAGTGTACGACTGTCGTCACCGCCAGCAGTGCCATCACCGCCTCCCCCAACATCGTCATCGCCGCCGCCCCATGCGATTGTCCTGGCGTCAACCGCGCCGTCGGGGCGCCGCCGCTGGCTGTGGCCGGCCGTACCGTTGGAAGCCTCCGCCACTGCCACTGCTGACGGCGCGGCGCCGTTGGCTCCTGGCCGTGTGCTCCACCCGGCCCTGCCGTCATCCTCCGCACCATCATCGCGGTCCTCTCCGCAAGCAGTGAAGCCTCCCGTCTGGGCTCCCGTCTTTGCCCCTAAACCCGTTCTTTGAGTCTGCTGCTCTACCTCTTCCTTCTGCTGTTGCTGCTGTCCCTGCCGCTGTCCGCGCCCCTGTCCTTGTCCCTGGTTTTCCTGTCGTTTGTTGCCCGGGCCCTGTACCCCAGACAGCATGGCTTTGCCGCTGCCGCTGTTGCTGCTACTGCTGTTACCCAAGCCCTGCAGGCAACCAGGGCTGGCGGAGGCTGTCGCCGCGGCCGCTGCAGCGCCTAACGCGCCGTACCGCACCACCCCGACGCCGTGCACTCGCGCATTGATGGTGAGACCCTGCATGGCGTTCTCCTTCTTGGCATCGGAAGGCCGCAACCGCCCAAACTCCATCGCCGCTTCGAGTTGCTCCTCGAAACGGTGCGGCTCGTCGGATGCCGCGGCCAGCAGGCGCAAGTACTCGGCCCCGGGGGCCAGCGGCACAAGCGTCATGGTTTCGACCAGATCCCCGTCACCGTCGGGGAGCCGAGCGACAAGGTGGATGAGGGTCTCCGGCTGGCTGCGGGACAGCTCTAGGAGGCATGCAGCCATGAAAGCCGTAGCCACGGCTCTCGGCTTGGGTCTGGACACCATGTGGATTGTGGAGGAGACGGAGGAGGTGCGTTTGGGGGTCTGGAAGAAGCTGCTGCTGCTGTTGCTGCCGCAGCCAGGGTTGGCGGAGGCGTCAACAGGGAACTGAGGCGCAGCTGCGCACAGTGCCATCAGAGTTTTTCTGGCCATCTTGCGCATTTGCTTCAGGCAATCTTGAGTACAGACGTCCTCTGCAGCGGCGACCCCGCGGAGGTATGACGCCAGCTTAGCCTGGAGTGCCGCGTGCGGCATGCCGTCGTATGGCAGGCTGAAAGCGGTGGCGGTGGTGGCAGCGGCGGCGAGGATGGCGTGGGTGTCAAGTAGGAGCTGTTGGGCTGGGGAGACAGGGCCGCGGCGGGGTGGCTCGGGTCGACGACCGAGACGGCCAGCCGCCAGGTTGCGGACGGCGACCTCTATCTGGGTGCGGTCTTCGAGGGTGAGGGGGACGACCATGGAGATCCCGCGCCATCGGTGCTCTGTGATGCCCAGCAACCCCATGGCCGCGCGGATAAGACGTAGCAGGACGGTGGGCAAGAGTGCCAGGAGCATGAGCCCAGCGTCCGCAAGGCCCTGAAGTCGGCGGGAGCTTGTGGCATGCACTGTGAATTTGCGCAGAAGCGTGGCGCGGTCGGCGGCATCATAGCTGGTGCTGGGTGCCTCGTCCTGTAGGACACCTGAGTTGTTTAGTTGCGAAAAGATCATTTCCCCGTTGGGAGTCAGGGGCTTTGCGTCAGGTGGCTGGCTGTCGCCTGGCTCAGTGCCTTCATGTTTGAGCGCCATCGGCAGCGGGCCCGGCTCTTTCAAGTTTGTAATCCAAGTATCGACTAAGATGCTTCCTTCGACATGCTTGGACGACCGAAATGGCATAACCTGTCGAGAGTTATTTCGTGAAGAACGGTCAGAAGACGCCCTTCTGACAAGTTGAGGAGCAAGGCCATTTGGTTGCAGCGTGGCCATTCATGATGACTATAATATACTAGCCTTTGCTTGCAGCTATCATATTGCAGAATGTGCCTCGAGACAATACACCAAAACGCAACCTGCACCTTCGAGGACTCCGCACGAGCGGTTGCAGGAGATTTGCCGTGCGACCTTCTCCATTATTGCATAATTTGTGTGCTGTTACCTGAACCCGTATAGGACATTGATGCTGTCCTTCTATTTTAGTTAATCACTTCTGTATGATTTAGAGGCAGGCTTTTACGTCCCTAATTGTAACAAAGCAAAGGCGTAACCCGGGATGCTCAGTTGGGCCTTGCGTCGTTACATTGCCCCCCCTTTAGCAATGGACGTCCGCGGCCATTATATCGAGCATTGGAGCCATCCCACCTCACGCATTGTGCGCTGGTTTATCCATTACCCATGATATCGCTTTCTGCGATACCTGCTTGTTGTCAGAATCGAACCACCGACCCGAAGATTTCATCGGAAGTCGTGCGGCCCCGTCTCGATACCATTGTAACAAAGCAAAGGCGTAACCCGGGATGCTCAGATTGGCATTTGCGTCGTTACATTGCCCCCCACTTAGCAATGGACGTCCTCGGCCATTATTTCGAGCATTGGAGCCATCCCACCTCACGCATTGTGCGCTGGTTTATCCATTACCCATGATATCGCTTTCTGCGATACCTGCTTGTTGTCAGAATCGAACCACCGACCCGAAGATTTCATCGGAAGTCGTGCGGCCCCGTCTCGATACCATTGTAACAAAGCAAAGGCGTAACCCGGGATGCTCAGATTGGCATTTGCGTCGTTACACTAATTCAAGCAAACCTGAAGCATTTTTTCAACATGAGCAACACTTTGCAACATGTTTATGCATAAGTTGTAATGGCGCAAAACAACGAATTGGTCCTTGGGACTCAGGGTCGTTAACTCCATCACGCCTATCTCCTTTCCACTCTCTTGTCTCGATAGCTCTTGATAAATATCTCACATGTACCAGGACGCTTAGCAGCAGCACAAACAACTTCTTTCCATACTACAAGCCCTGACCCCGCATACGATGTCGATCAGGGTACCATGCATAGGGCAACTACTGGCGGTGTCGAATCCATCGCATGATTGCACAAACCTATGCAACACACATGCATGCGTAGGGAACGTGTTGCAACCTGTGGCGGGTTATGGCACCGCAGGGATGCCAATTGGTGCTAAGACCTCGTCGTTAGCGGACTCATTCCGCGGGGTAAAGCACTCTTTCACGAAGTGGCTCGCGTGCTGTGCGATTTGGTGACGATGACGAGGTCCCCGCCCCTGCAGCTGCTGCGGCCCCACTCCAGCGCATCCGCCTTGGAACACAGAATGTCCTCCTGGGCGACTCCGAGCCCCGGAGGCATAAGTTAAGGCGGCTGGCGACATATATTCGGGTTAGGAACGAGTCGCTTTTAGCAGCTGGCACGCAAGCAACCAAGCGCCATCTGAAGCATGCATGATGTGTGAAACAGGGGGGTATATCTTCACCCGTGGCAGCTACTCTGCGAAACCCTGCCTTCCCCGGTATTTCGGGGCACCCTCATCCAGTCAACCAAGTCAACTTCTCGGTGGATCGCTCAGGTTCCGCACCCACCACCAGCAACCAACGGATTCTGTCGGGTCGACAGCGGCCCAACTCCATTCCTGGTCGGCTCGCAGGTTAACTTTATCCCAGGTCACCACCGTCCATCAACTAAAGGCGCAATACCTTCCACCATCGGAAAAATTTTCGGCCCTGACAGGTCGCGATCCCGAGATCTCCCAAGGGCAATCGCTGCGCGTAACCATTAGTGCCGAACCCTAGTGTATGTGCGGAGCAGCCAGTGTATGCTGTTCATACGCACGGAAGAGCCTTGAACCGGCTTGCAAGATGTAATACATTGTGGGGCAGGGTTGTAGTATGTTGCATGTTTGTAGCAGAAACAGCGTTGAAACTGCCCAGGCTGCCTGCCCAAGAGGATCCAGGATCCAGGGCTCCAACCTGCAAAGTGCAGCAGAGGTGTCACCCGGCCAGACCACATATAGACTGAGACTGGCTGCAAGCGTGCAGCAGGAAGGGCACCTAAGTAGGGCTACAGTAGGAAGAGCGTATCTAACTCTGAATCAATAATATATACGTAATAATAGGCCTTCCGCTAGTTCAACAGGTGAGAGCTGGGTTACGTACGTCCTGAATGACATCTCGCTTGCGGACTCGTCCAGGTTGTGACATGTCTGGGGTTTGTGGCTTGGGACTCATCCCGCTCTTTCCCCCTTGGGGCTCTAGCGCCGCGTTATTCTGGGGCGCATCGACAGCATCAAAGGCGCCTGCTCTTGGGCGCGTTCGTGGCGCAACCTCAGGCAGCAGCAGGCCACACATCATCATGTACGCTTCGCGCACAATAGCTACTAGCTACCGCTGTCACTGCATGCGGCAAACCCCTGCTCCCGCTTTATTATCAGAGATAAGCCGCCCGGCTGAAACATCCTAGAGATGAAGATAATTTAGGGTGATGGCAGCGCACGTATATTATTGTACTCTCACACTAGCACGAATACAGCGCGAAAAAGCAAGTTTCTTATGCATCTTGTGAATAAGTATGTTACATGCAATAATTAATATTACTTGTGACGCGTAGGCGGAACATACAAGCAGTTGGCGCCTGACATCGTTGATGGCCGCTTCCTGAAAGGCCATCACGAGGTTCTCCACTATATGAAAATCACATTGCCACGACCTCACCACCGATAGACTGCGCGTCCAAGTAATGTGTAATCGCGCGTATGCGTTCACATTGCATACCCGGCGGGAGCCTGCATGCCCGCGTCAAACGCACCAGCGAGCTGCCGTACCCTTCCACCAGTCCTGAGAACGGGCTAAAAAGTCACCGTCAAACGTTATATGCACGCCGAATGCAATTGTTTTCTTGGTTAGTTCGTACTGGGGGCCTTGTCTCCTCCCGTGCTAGGCCTTCTTACAGTCGGGCCGCTATAGTCCCCGGGCCTCACGTCTCCAGTTAACATGTCCGCTGCTACAGCACCTCCCTGTTACAAATTTTGTTGCTACAGCTTTTTTACTGCCACCGCTACGTTTTACTCTTTTGTACTGTTGCTGCCAGTATCACTCCTGCCGCTGCTGTTGCTGCTGCTGCTGCACATGCTGTGGCCGTATGGCTCTCGTTAATGGGCTTTTTCATACTATTCAACTTTCTCCATAAACACATCGCCACATCACCATCACCACCGCCATGGGGGTTTCTACTCTATTAAGGAGGAGCTATCCCAACGGGCAATGGGATTTTCCTACACACACACACACACACGTACATGTCTATCTCACTTGCGGCGCCTCAACAGCTCCAAACCATGATCATCATCAGCAGCAGCAGCCGTTGCATCCCAGTAGCCATATATCGCTAAAAGTCGACACCATCACCACATAAAAAAACTCTGTAAACAGTGTCGTTTTGCCTGCAAGATCGGATTGACAAACACGTGGCTGCCGTACAGTAAATACCTGTACGACCCTTAGGCGAGAACAGCAGACCAGCGAGCCCGAGGGGCTCAAAAATGCGTTTGGAACATCCAACATTTCGTACAAGGAACAAGTCGTATGGAGATCAGAGCTCGCCGCTGCTGCGCAAATAGGACAGCATAGGGCCCAAAGCAACACGACGCGCTCCGCCGCGCGGTTTCACCGCCCCGGGAGTTCGTACAGCCGCTCCGACAGATGCTGTCGCCGCCGTCCCCGCCGTCGCCGCTTCCACCCCACCAAGCTGTGCCCCATCTACCGCCGCCGCCTCTGTATCTGCCGCTACAGCGCTTCCATTGCAGAAGCGCGGCACAGTGACATCGGGCACAGGCGGCGGTCCATCCGCCCTCCTTGCAGCAGCTCCTCCCGTACCCGCACCCGCACCCGTACCCGTACGAGTATTTGCAGTACCCGTACCAGACTGACGCAGCTCAATTGGTTCTTTACACTGCTGCTGCTGCTCAGCCCCTCGACCCGCCAACGGCTGCGGTATCAGCGGCGGCCGCGGCTGTTCTTGCCAGTCCCGCCGCCGATTCTGCAGCTCCGCCGCCGCTGCCGCGCCGGAAGAAGTGCTAGAGCCGCCAGCCCGTTGTGGCGGCGGCGGCGGCGGCGTGCTAGCAGGCGTGTTGGCGGCGGCCAGCTCCAGCCGCCGCTGCCGCATCTGCTCCGCAATTTCAGACCAACCTCCAACCGCCGGGACGACGGATCCCGGCGGCAGCAGGTGTGCTCCCTGGGCAGCGCCGCCGCGGGGCTGTGCCGCCGCCGCCACTCCTGTTACCGCCGTCGCGGCTGTGGCGGCGGCAGGCCCTCGCCGCGGCGGCGCTGGCGGCGGTCTCCGTGCGCCGGAGGCAGCAGCGGCAGGTGTTCCCCATTGCGGCCCCCGCGGAGTGGAGGTTCGGCTTGCAGGAGGGCCGCGGGGCTCGGACGGCCCTCCACGTCCGCCGCCGCCGCCGCCGCCGGAGGGTCTTGCTGCAGGCTGCGGAGCTGGTCTCGGTGTCTTGGCCGCCGGTCCCGCGGCGGTTAGAGATCCTGTACAGACGAGGAGAGCAAGGAGGAGAGAAAAGTAAGCTGTCCGCTTTACGGCACAATTTACGCATATACCTACAAACATACATAACAGCGGTTTGCGGACCCACTGGTACACGCAGCAAGGGTACACCAGTACGGCACACACGTGGACACCGTACTGACGTGTCGCAGGCCGCTTGGCGCCGGATGCAGGCGCCGCTGTAGCAGGCGTGGCCGCCGCGGACGTTGCTCGGCCCCTGGCGGCGGCTGGCGTCAACATGATTGCCGCCCCCGCTTGCGCAGGCGTTGAAATGGATGTAGCTGCTGCTGCCGACGGAAGTATCGACGGCGGCATCACCGCCGCCGCCGCTGCTGCTGCTGCTGTTGCTGCCATGGAACTGGATTGTACGACTCGTCGTACATCCGCAAGACGGTCCAACGTCACCATCAGTAGGCCATCGGCGTCGTACTCTGTCGGGAAGGGCAGGGACTCCCAATCCAGGTGCTCCTCCAATTCGCCGGCACCTGCGTGCACACACACGCACACACAAGTGTGTGTATGTATGTATGTATGTATGTATGTATGTATGTATGTATGTATGTATGTATGTATGTATGTATGTATGTATGTATGTATGTATGTAATCTGCCAATTCCTAGTCGGCATCGTGGAATGGAGACTGGAACCTTGGGGTAACATTTCTGGTTGTTGTGGCATACCTGGTATGTATGTATGTATGTATGTATGTAAGTGTGCACACAGAATGTCAATCTCAATACTCCGCACAGGCAAAAAGAGGTGCATGCCGTACGTACCACACATCACCCCAGCTGCCTTTATGCCAATGCTGGCTATACCTGGAGCAGACTTAGAAAATTAGGGAAAGTCTCTCCCCCGGGTTGTTTTGCCCTTGCGCGCTGTTGTAGATCTCTGTAGCTCTGTGTATACCAAGGCACATGGCCCCCTGGCTGAGACACATGATCCCCCCCCTGGAGTAGAGGGTTTTAGGGTGGCAACAGTCTTCCGCTGTCTTCCGCTGCTGTGGTGCTGTGGTACGTGGTGCATACGGCCCCCAGGTAGTGACCGCGACTTGGTGGTTGGGGGCTTCCCCCCCACACACACACCTGTGGTAATATATACATATATCGCCCGCCTGCGTTGGGTAGCCCCAGAACTGCAACGGTACCTGACCACCCCGGGTAACACGGTCCCTTCTCTATTCTAGTTTTCCTGGCAAACTCCTGCAGACCACAACCACAAATACGACAAATAAATAATTCACCGTACGTACTGCTTACCGCTTAAGCCTTTGGCTTTACGGATGGCGGCTGCCCCATCACCATCACCATCGCCATCAGCCGCCGCCGCCATGGCGGACTCCGCGGCTATCCGGGCGCGCAGCTCGTCCAGATCCTTCCTCAGCGGGTGGACCCGTGGGTCAGGGTGCGGCTCCAGAACCACGGAGCCCGTCGAGGAGTCCACTGCCACGACGCGGCACTGGCGCCACCCGGACACCTGTGTCGCCGGGGTAAAACACCGCCCTCAGCTCGCAGCCGCAATCACCACAACCCATAGAGGCAAAGGGACCAAAGGGTGATGGTGGTGACGGTGATGCGTGCGGTCAGAGGATTGCTGACCCCTGACTATTATGGGACTTATACACACACGCACATACAGCGACAGACATACATGGAGTTGAGCCGCCGTCGATCCGTCAGATTCCGTTGGATGCTGGTGGTGGGTGTGGAACCTGAGCGATCCACTGACAAGTTGGCTCGGGTGACTAGATGAGGGTGACCCGAAATACCGGGGAAGGTAGGGTCTGCCGGGTAGCGGCCGCAGTGTGAAGATATGACCCCCCTGTCCCACGCATCATACATGCACATACAGCGACAGACATACATGCACACAAAGCGACACAGGATTTCACTCAACCAACAACAAACAAGCCCCAGTCCGCTGCCACGTGGTCTCAAACCACCAGCCACCAGCCACCAAAGGCCGGAAGTGGATTTATTAGTAATTAAATTTCCCAACCCGTCTCAAGAGGTAACAGACCCAACGAACCTCATCCAAGGTCCAACTAACTACCCAACTGTCAACTGCCTACCCGGGGGCACATGTCTAGTCCAATCTCCAGCAGTTTGTAGGCCAATATATCCCCACTCGCCACGGGGCCCTGTACGGCAGGCAAGCTGTCGTACTCCACGGAGGCCGCTGCTGGCGCCGCTGCTGCTACCGTACCAGCAGCGGTTGCCGCGGCGGCCCCAGCACCCGCCTTGTCCTCGGGGGTTGGCGGCTCGTCGGAGGAAATGTCGCTGTCTTCCTCTTCGCTGCTAGTGCTAGTGCTAGTGCTGCTGTCGTTTTCGCTGCTACTGCTGCTGCTGTCACCATTACTGCTGGTTGTGGTCTCGGAGCTTGTAGCCGCAGGACGGGTTGTCTGCTTCCCTGCCGCCCCCGCCGCCGCCGCTGCGGTGGCGGTGGTGCGACTTGGTGCGTTGATGGGGGCCTCCGCGGCGCAACGGGGTGGGCAGGGAGCGTGTATCGGTGAAGGTGGATGGGGTGATGAGTGAGTGATGTGGGTAATTGCATTGTTGGGCTATTGGGGTTATTGGGGCTATTGGGTGCTGTACGACAGTCTTGTCCGTGTTGGTGATATGTCAGCGTGATGCATGAGGGTGAGACGAAGGGACCAGGTTGATGAGGTGCAGCCACAACCACAACCCCCACAACCCACATAGCAGCCATAGCTCGATTGACAGTGCGCCTCACACCCATACAGCATTACTTCGTGCTTAGCGGATGGCTTCATCGTAACTGAACAACTCAGGAGCCACAAACTCAAGAACCACAGCTCAAGGGGAACATCTTGCATCTGATAAAGGCCTTGTGGACGTGATGCCCAACATGAACACTTCCCATGGGTGGGTGGGCCCCTCACAAGGGTGACTTGCATGAGACGCACAAGCACCGTCACAGGGGGAAACTCTCATTCCGTTACTCTCTAGTTTTAGACCAAACCACACCACTCACAAAAACACTCACTGCTTTCCGGCGGCTGGGCCCAGCAGCAGCAGCAGCCGCCGCCGCGCCTGCTGCTGTGGCTGCTGTGCCGCCGCCGCGCCCGCCGGTGTCCTTGTCCTCATCCTCGTCATCGCTCTCTGTATCATCTTCACTACCGCTGCTGCTACTGCTACTGCTACTGCTGCTGCTGGGCAACGCACGTGCGGCGCCTTGTTGCGTTGATCCATGCATTCCACGTTGCGGCAATGCAGCCGCCACTTTCGCAACGGCTACCTTCCCTGCCCCTCCCTTATCACCGCCGTCGCTGCTACTGCTACTGTCGTCGCTGCTCTCCGCGTTACTGTCACTGCTAATGCTGCGACCAGCGCCGCCTGCTGCTGCCCCCACTCCTCCTCCTCCTGCCGCCCTGGCGGCACGTGTAACTGTGCCGCTTGGTCCTGCTCCATCCGACCCACCGTTCATTAGTACCCCACGTAGACCCGTGGTAGCGCCGCGCAGCTGTTTCTGCTGCTGCCGTTGTACTACAAGTGGTCCCGCAGTAGCAGGAGCTTTCGCCGGAGCTGCAGCCGCGGCAATGCTGCGACTGCCGCCGCCGCCGCCACCGCTGCCGCCGGCGGCTGCGGCCGTGCAATACTGGGCGGCGTAGTGCGTGTAGCCAGCGGCCGCGGATGGCGACAGGGTTCCGTTGGGGTCCAGAGGGGATGCAGCCAGTGCAGCTGCCATCATGGCTGTACAGAGGAGGAGGGTGGGGGGGGAGCGGCGGGGCGGAGGGGGAGAGGGAAGGAGGGGGAGAGACGGGGAGGAGGGAGGGGGGGAGGAGGGAGGGTGGGGGGGTGTTGGGTGGGAAGTAGGGAAGGAAAACTAGTCGGTAAGGGCGAAAAGGTGCTGCCCAACTGCCTGCACTGATTGCTTCGCCTGAACAGTGCTCGCCGAGACGGAGTTGTTTCTCACCGCTACCATGCATGGCGTCACTGTCTAGTCCCACCAAGTCTTTCGCCCATATTGCCCCTTCCCCGGTAGTGTTGCTGGTTGGTTAAGGAAGCCGCAGTTCATGGCCAGCAGCGGGGGGCCCCCAAGACGCAACGGCCGACCGCCGACTTGCCTGAGGTCTGTTGGTCATGTTGCTGCTGCTGCTGCTGCTGTCCTCGCCGCTGCAAACCCGGTTGCTGTTGTTGCTGCGCGGCCTTACCATCCCCTGTCCGTTGCTGCTGCTGCTGCTGTTGTTGTTGTTGTTGCTGCTGCTGCTGCTGCTGCTGTCTCTGCGCCTTGTCTTTCTTCCCGCGTCCGGCTGCCGGGGCCCCCATCTGCTGCTGCTGCTGCTGGTGGCCACCCGGACCCCCCCGGGCGCCGCCCGCCACACCCCCACCGGCTCCAGCACCCGCAGCCAAACTAGACCCTGAAATATGGCCCATAGGTACATGAGGCACATGAGGAAATGAAGAATATAGAACGGGCGGCTCCGGACAGCAGCCGAGTGTGGAACAAGTCATGGGAGTGGAGCGGAGTGGAGGGCAGGGCAGGGAAGGGGTGTCATCATCTGGGCCCAGGAGGGCAAGGAGAGACGAATATATGCAAATTCAGACGGGCGGGGAAAAGACGGTGGGAAGCAAAGGTGCCGAAGAATAATTCTTGCTGCCGTACCTTTGTACGGCAACACGCCGCTGCGCCGCAGACGTCGCTTGGCGGCCTTGCGCCGCGCGCTACGACTTGCACGTTTCTTGCCATCCGCCGATGTCAATGCAGCGTCCGCCTCCGTTCCGTCTGCGTCTGTTCCGCCGCCATCAGCCGCCTCTGCCGCCGCCGCCGCCATCTCACCTGCTCCAGGGTCCACGTGGGCTGCCGTCGCGCCGGCCCCGTCAAACCCATCACCACCGCCACGATTACCACCACAGCCGCCACCATCGAGGTGGCCATGCGCCAGGGAGCCCGGCCGTACCAGCCCGGCATCGCCGCCGGCTGTAGCAGCGCCCGTGCTTGGACCTGCTGCTGCTACTGCTGCTGCTACTGCGGGTTGTACAGCCGTCGGTTCCAGCGCCGTAGACTGCCCCTGTCGCGCAACAGCAGCTAAGCGACGCACCTTGGCTGCGTGCTGCTGCCCCAGCTCCTCCTCCCCCTCCTGCTGCGGCTGCTGCTGCTGCGGCTGCTCGCCCACGCGCTGCTGGCAACCCTCACCTCCTCCACCTCCAGCTCCATTTGCACCGCCCAGTACCGTGGTGCCTCCCACCACCGCCGCCGCTGCTCCGTCACCGCCGACACCACCGCCATTCCCTACGCCATGCGCCAGTGCTGCACAGATCCACAATACAGTCCCGAGGAGAGTACACGGCAAGGTAAGGAAGTGCAAGGTAGGGACGTGGCAGTCAAGTCCACAAGCAGAGGTAAGATGCACAGGTAAGCCTAGATGACGAGGTTTTGACGCCCGAGCGGCGAACAAGGGCGCAAAAGCAGGACCCAGAGCTAACATGGTAATTACTGCTTGACAATGAAGGCCTTGGGATACGTCACATCTACCATGACATCCACGTCACCGTCACGCCACTGTCGTACCCCGTTTGCGTTTCCTGCCGCTGCCGCTGCCGGCGACGGCGGCGGCCCCGGTACCGTTAGGGAGACTGCCGATGGGGCTGCCGACCTGCGCGCCCGCTGTCGCTCCGGCAGCGCCGCCGCCGGGAGGGGCGGCAGCGCCGGCGGCTCCAGCTCCGCCCTGGTGCTGCAGCAGCAGCAGCTGGGGGCCCTTTTGTGCAGCTGCCAATGCAGGCCGCGCAGCTCTATTATACTGCGACTGTGTGAAGCGTTGTGTGAAAAGAAGCGGGAGGGAGGCACAATGGCGTGGAGCAGTAGCAGTAGCAATAGAAGTAGCAGCAGCAGTGTTGTATGGAAACGGGAGAGGTGGGACCACAAGCAGGTATCCAAAGTGAGGGCAGGGAAGCTGCGTGCCCGTTCACCATTCAGAGCAAGAGGCGAGGAGAGAACGTAGCGGATGGTAAAGCCTCCCAAGCCGGTCATTCAACAACACACCATCCTACCAGCAGTCCGTCCGTCCGTCCGTCAGACATTAAGCCTTTAATAAATCAATTGTAGGGAGCTGGTTTCGGTGCTCACCGCTGGGGGAAGCGCTCGCGGTTGGAACAGTTTTTGTACAGCGATGAGATCTCCATCCCGAAGCAGATCCACGGGCCCATCCGGCGGCAACGTGTAGCCGCCCAGCACCAGTCGGAGTCCCTCGGGGCCGCCCGGGCAGTCGAGTTGGAAGTGGACATGGACCTGCATTAGAGGCGGCAAGGAAGTAGGCTTGTAGGGTGTGTGGCTGTGGCACAAGGCAGCGGCGTTGTGATACCCGGTTGGGGGGAATAAGAGGTTCTATCATGTAAAAGGGGGGTAGACCTAAGTTCTAGGGTCGCGGATGCGAGCACGGACCTCACGGGCGAAGTCGGCGATGGTCACGGCGGCGGGACTGGGCCAAAACCTGCAGACGGCGCGACGATGAGGGAGGATAGAAAAATGACTTGCGACGCCTCGGCTGCGCAATTTGTGACGCTGTCAGAGAGGCTTACCAGCTCCTGCCCAGGCCCTGCTCGCGGATGGCAGGTGTGAGCAAGGCTTCGGATATGTCGAGCCGCAGCCGTTGCATATCCCCTTATTATATGTAATTTAGCATCGATAAGAAGCCGTTTTCCACCCCGGCTTACTGGGCTGCACTGGTCCGTAAGTAGTAACGTGCACCAATCTGCCGGAACCAGAGCCAGTAATCGGGTATCGTGACTTACTCCAAAAACGTTATTTAAACTGTAGCAAGTAGTAGGGGAAAGTGCGGCCAGAGAAGTGGCCGAGTTGAATTGGGATCCACGCTATGAAATGAACGGAAAACCGAGTACAGCAGCTCGCAGACCAGCAAAACACCAGGGCCTGGGCCCATCAATAAGATATCAATCCCTCACGTACTAGTGAATAAAGTACAATAGTCAACTTCTACGGCATCCGGCCAATACGCTGTGTTCCACTTTTCTCTCGAACGTGTCAAACGTGAGCGTCCAGCCACTGACCCAGGGCGAGAATGAAGGCCCTCAGCTTACACGGTCCTTGGGCCTATTACGAACGCAAGTCCGCGGAAAACGAGCGTCGAATTGCCGACCTGGAACAGGAAGTCCTTCGATGGAAATCACAACACGACGAGCTCCAACACAAGGTGGAATACCTGGAGGCCGAAAGGAAGCAGCTACAGGGCGTCCAGCTACCTGGCCTGCTTGCCGAAAAGGGTCGTTCGCAGGGCATCATCGACAATCTACAAGCGGAGCTTGCACGGGAACGCCTTGAGCGCGCCGACGAGCATAGGCAGCTCACGGTAGAAGTATCCAGCTTGACACAGGAGCTGCAGAAACTTTCAGCGGACAATGCCGTGCTGCGCTCGGAGCTCGCCAAAACTGTGCACCAGAAGCAACTGACCTCCACGAAGCTGGAACAGATCCGGAAGAAGCTGGGACTGTCCGAGTCTGAGGCCAAAGCATTCATCCAGGTGGCACGTCGAAAAATGCGGGGTCCGTGGCGTTCCTGTCGGGGTCTGTGGCGTCCTCTCATTCGAGGGCATAAGAGGCCAGCGGAAGCAGGGGCCATGGGGCGATGGTCGGGAACGAGGGAGGCGTGCGATGGGATGTCCAGCATATTTCTGGTTATCACGTGAGACTACACAATCAAAGCACAGCGAGTGGCTTTACGTTTGTTTGCCGTGCGCTGGCCGCCTCTACCGTCAAATTTAGCGTTCAACCCTCACTCCCGGCGTAGCCATCCAGAACACGGCAATTTCATGCAAGAGCTGTATTTGATCAAGAACTGTTCTATTCTTGTGCCTGCACCAAGTGCAGGAGCTGGACGAAGCCCGCGCAGCTAGCAAGGCCTTGCGTGAAGAAAACAAGGGTGCGGCTGCGTGATTAGCACGTGCTAGCGCTTGGGAGCATATTCCCAGGTTTTATGGGAGAGGCCCGGCCATGTCCATACCTGGGTTGTGTCCGTAACCGCTGTGGTGACCTCCTCGCCCTACCTTTCGCTCCCGCTTTGGCAGCTCATTGTACTTCTCGCCATGCTGACTGCCTTGTTTCATACACTTCCACACATCCCAATTATTACCGCCGCGCTCACCTATCCTGCCGCACCGTTTCTATGACCTATTCCTCACCCCGACCACCTACCCCACCACCCCAACCACTCCCGGCACCGCAACTGCTCCCCCACTAGAACTGGCTGCGGACTGCTCCCACCTAAGGCAACAGGTGGAAAGCCGGTCGCAGCACTGCATGACAGTCATCGGGGATAACAAGAGGCTTCTGGAACAGGCGAGTGGGAGGCGATGGGTTTCACAGGGGCCGATGATGGAGGCGGCAGATGGCCCTCGGAGGCAGGGGCCCTGAGGGCGCAAGCTACAAGTTACAAGTTCCGCACAAGTGCGGGGGTGTCCGTAAAAGCCGGGGCGGCCATGGACGGTAAATCGTTTTTAGTGCGGTTACGTGGTGGACCATCATCGTCCTCCCTCGTCCGCTTGAGCACGAAGCGCCTGAGCGCAAGTTGTGGCGAGGTCTTGGGGTTTGGAAGGAAACCCCCGTTGCTCCAGATATAACCTCGCGAGGGTGGTCAGCAAGGACATAGCCTCACGGGTGTCCATGCACACGGGTGTCCATGCACACGGAACGGGGTTTCATCAGGTCACCGCCCTCGTCAGCCCCTTCGTCCTGAAACCGTAAAACCGCCTCCGCACTTCCCGCCCCCATTTCCAAACCTTCAGGTGGCGGAGTTGCGCATGCAGTTACAGAAGCAGCAGGGAGAGATTTGGCAAGCCAAGACCGAGCAGCAGACCGCCCTGGCCGCGGCGCGGCAGCTGCAGCAGCAGCAACAGCCGGGCTCGGGCCGCAGGTCCTCGCAGTTGGTGATGCGTGAGTGGTCGGTGCCGGGCGAGCTTGGGTCGGGTGCCGCTGCGGGGGAGCGGCCTGCAGCGGCGCTGGCGGCAGGCCGGACCGGGACGTGCGGCGTGACAGCGTGTGCTTCAACGGGGTCAGTGGGAGTGGCCTCGGTGGCTTCGGAGCGGCGAGCTGGGGGCAAGCAGGTGAGGGCATGCGAGTGGTGGGAGTTAGAGGAATGCTGCCGCCGGCATGGAAGTCGCAGGGTGTAGGAGAAATGTGATTCAGATTTTATTTGAAACGTTTCCGCGACCAGGGGTGCACCCCGTGAACTGTACGGAAGTACCGGTACGGAGGGCCAGTGCACGTTCCGCAGCTGTATTTGTCCGACCTTGCTGCGCCGATGACAGAGCAATGATAATGATTGGCCCTGGGAAACTGGGAAGCTAGTGAAGCGGAGCACCAGCGAGTGAGTTGGACACACGGTCTCGATTCGATTCAGGTCAGATATGGCGGTCCTGTTTCTCTCCAGCCCCGAATGTACTTCACTGCGTGAGTCCTGCCCTTTCTGAACGGTGCTTTTCTTCTATATCTCTTTGCAGAATCGCCCGCCCTGGAGTGATGCTAGCAGGGGCAAGGGAGCCGCGGCGGCCAGCACCGCCGGCGTCGCCAAGCCGGTGGTTCACGTACCCGTCAGCGTGAAGCCGCTCGGCCCTACCGACGCCGCCAAGGCCGGCATCATACGGCAAGCCCTGGCTGCGCGAAACCAGCGGCTAGGTTTTACGCAGCAGCAGCAGCAGCAGCAGGAGGCCTAGCGGGAGAGCAGACAAGCTTGGGGGAAGGAAGCGGTGTAGGCCTGGCCTCGGGCTGGGCATCGCCCCGGAACCCATGTACTCTGCAGTCGCAGACGGGGCCTCTGCTGAGGTGGCGGTGGTTGAGAAGCACCCTCACAGACCTCTTGACCTCATTCGGGAGAAGTACACAGGCCCCGATGGGGCCAAGGTGCGAACAGCCTAGAGGAAGCGGTCCTATAGCGGTAAAGGCTGTGGCTCCTAGTGAAAACAGGGACCCTCAGGCTCAGTGGTGGTGAAGGTCGTGATGAAGGTGGTGTTGGCGTTGGCACTGGCGGACACGGCCAAAGGGCTCCAACCTAAGATATCACTGCTGGGTTGCATCCCCTCGCGCCGCGTCCCAGCTGATTCGGGTTAATGGATGAGCGCATGCTCTGGACTGCCCTTTACGCAAAGACGACGACCTTTGCATGGGCAAGAGCGTCAACGTTGAAAATTTGTTACTTTATTGAGGGATTTACTTTATGGATGGGAAACAAACAGGCTTAGGGAAGGCCAGTAACGAAACCCGTGCATAAAACATACTTGGTAGACTTGGGTAATAAGCTCGAAGGGGAAGCGTAAGGGCCATGCTGCAACTGGGGTTGCTCACAGCGTGGTACTTTGACTGGTGAAGCAAAAGTGAAATGCACCCTGCATGTGAAAGCGGAGCATGGGTGCATCGCTGGGACCGTCCGAGGTGGCTGCATCAGCTTGTGGTCCCTGCCGCCTGCTGCAACATGCGGGCAGGTATGGTAGCGGTGAAAAACTTGCTGCTAACTAACATTTCACACGGCGCTTAATATAACCCTTGTAATAACCTGCTGGCCGCGTTCACGACCCCTGCACCGGGCGTATAAGCTGTGGGATTCAACAGGCAACCGCCTAATTTGAAGTAAGTTCCACATTTATACTTCCCTTCATCCACATCTCGCATCGCACGTGCTGACGATAGTAAAATGTGACGCGCACCGGCAGCTCAACTATTTCTTCTCCGACCCAGGTTATGACGTCATGCGGGAATCGCGAGGGCCATTCGCCTCCATGTTAAATTGACACGCCACGCGACGCTTTCGGTTGAAAATTAGCCCTACGCAACGGTGTTCCCGTTGATTGGCTAGCCCAGCCATGCACCCACCTATCATGGTGAGGCCCCGTGCAGGGGAACTGGGAAAAGCTACATCGTCCCGCTAGCCAACGCATGGAACATTTCGGCCTCAACAGGGTACATTGTACCCGCAGGCGAGCCGTGGTGGCATACGACCGGGAGCCTTGCGGCATACAATCTTGTACCTCACATCTGCAATAGTGCATGCGGCAGCTGCAGCACATCTCCCCTACCACCACAACTAAGTATCCCCGCAACCAGAGTCAAGGAAAATCGAGGCAAAGGGGACTGGGGCCCCGGGCCGGCCAGTTGCCTGTGTAAGCCCACGGCCGTTCACTTCATTCGGCTGCACGCTTGTACTCCCACGCTTGTCGGCACATCGGGCACTTTTGCTCCGCCGATGAGGAGAGCCATTTCTGAATGCACTGCAGGTGGAAGGCGTGTTGGCACGACCCCCAGACAACTGGACTGTCGTCGCCAGGGTACTTGCACTCCGGAGGACAGCCGTCAAATGGCGCACGGCAGATTCCACACACGTCGTCAGCTTCCCAGGTCCAAGCTGCTACAGCATGCCATTTTTTTATTCGGATCTCGAATGCCATGACACCGCGACGGTTGGCTAGCGGACGGCTACAAAGTAGCAGGTAGCAATATCGCAATTACAATTAGGCATCAAAAGAATCACAGTAAGCAAAACATATTTTCCGGCTCAGCACACTTCGCTGCGTTTGGCGCCCAGTAGACTTTAAGAACGAAAACTCACAGCTGGCGACTAAGCGAAGATTTATCGTATCGATACGGCGAATATGATAGGTGTTCGGATGTGGATTACCAAAGAACTGTAGCTTGGGCAGTGACAATTTCTTAGGGGGGGTCACTTTCGAAAGTAGTAAAGTACGAGTTCCCCTCGAAGCACAACATACTCCTTGCAGTACACAGCGTCATATCCAATTCAGCATCGTTTCACGGCTCTGGGATAGTGTCGACAAAGGATGCTATCGGAGCGGGCTATGCCATGCCGAAACCGCCTTTTATCACGCTTCATGACAACTCTGTCATTTCACATGCCGTAACAGAAATTCTGTTTAGTATGATGTTTTGCGGGACGTTTTAACAAGCTTAACGAACTGGACACGCCAATTGCATTTCCGGTGGACATGGTGTTGCCGGGCGAGCTGCGTACAGCCGAGGATGGAGATTTGCAATCAGACAACCCCTACCGATCAGGTTTTCAGGGCAAATTGGACATTGCTTCTCTGCTGGAGGACCATTTGCAGCTGCTGCCGGAGGGACTTGACCCTGAAGCAGACCCGGCGGTATTGGTAAGTATCTCCATAGATGTTGTTCGCTTTATACAGAGCACCAGTGCTAAGAGCTGAGCCACGGCCACGCGCCACGGCTACGGCCTTGAGCAACCCTAGCAGATATTTCCTAGCTGCTTTGCCATACCCTCCGCACATGCCGCCCGAGGCGGTTTCATGGGAGACCCCTTGCATATTTCCAAGCAGCAAAACTCCCAAAAGGTTCAATCCTTAATCGCGCATACGACGCCTAGAGGGCGTAATTCAGATTTACCAGCATGTTTTACCCCGCGGTTTTCACCAAGCGCCAGAAGCAAGGATATCTCCTAAGCCGAGGATGCCCCTCCTAGTGCCAAAGCCGCGACCGCTATAGTCATGGATTGCCACCGGGGCTTGGGTCCAGAGGCCCCGTTCTATCTACTCAGTTACAAGTACACGCACGCGCTCCATGGTGATGGTTGGTTGTCCGGGGTCGCGTCCTTCGCCGAGCCCAGTTCCTCAGCCCAGTTCCTTAGCCCATGGCTTGCACCGTGATGCTGTGCAAGAGAAAAGTGATTGCCGTGGCCAAAACAAAGCACAGAAGAACGGGACATGAAGGGAATGGAACGTTCGGAAAGGTCGCGTATCCTGCTTGCCCGGAGATTCCCGTTTCCTCCGCCGAGTTTTGCCTCGTTGCCGGAATGATGATGGACTACATACTTGCGCACTGGCCAAGGGGGAGGCCCACAACCGGAGTGCATTACGTGGGTAAACGCGACGGCCCCAACACCACTCACACTGAATTTGGTGAAGGAAGGCCTTGACGTCCGCAACCCACATCCATGAAACCCAGATCAAGCAGGCTAGCAATATCAAAACCAATCAATCAAAACCAATCGAGCAAAATTCAAAACAAAGCGAATCACTCCAAAAGAGACTCCGACACGAAATCCAGATCTTAACACGTTTTCCTTATTTGCGCCAACCGGTTATCATTAAACATCTCCGCAGATTGGCGCTCAATCCGATTCTGGAACTCTTTGCGCTTTACACACCACCATGCCTTGAAATCACCACGGGAGTGCCTTCTCGGCCCTTCAGGGCTATAGTTAGACCTGGACGGGCGAGCTGCGAACCGGTGGTCCATTTCGTAATCCCCATGGTATATAACCCTCCATAACCCCTCCCCTTCCCCCTTCCCCTCTTCCTTCTTTGGCCATCAGCATTTGTCGCACCTGGATATTTGCTTGCATATAATCTCCCTTTCCCCCTCCTATCGTCATCCGTGCCCATGTCTACCAGGAGCAACTGTTCGAAAACGCTCGGCCCCAGTCCGAGGCGGCCATCGGCGCACACCTGCGTCCCTGCCGTGACCCCACCAAGGACCACCTGCTGTCGGCCCTGCACGCCATGGAGGCCTTCCACCCCACAGCCTTTGCAGCGCTTCAGGACGGGCTGCTGCTGCTTAGCGGGGTGCTGCTGGTGGGCAGCCTGGCGCTCAACGCGGCGGCAGTGTGGGTGAGCGATGAGGAGGGCCTGTATGTGTGTTTGTGGGGGGTGAAGGCCCCCACCGGGTTGAGCTTCCCCACAAAAACCCCAAGTCCCCTGCAAAAGGGTGGTGGGGGGGGTATCCGTCCTCCTAGGGCCCGTCTTTTCCCTTTCCGTTTTTCTCATAACCCAGAAGCCATCGGAGTGGGCATAACTCCCATAGACCGGCAGCCAGTTCCGTGACATTGCATTATTTCTCCCCCGATAGATCTTTCCTTCCCCATAGTCAGCAGCATTTCCCACAGGGCCTCATTCACCTAATGGAATAAATCCCTTATCCTTGTTTACTAAAACTGGTGCAGGCGCTGTGGACCTTCATCAACCGCGGTCTAGCCATTGCTGGCCTTGTCTTGCTGCTGCTAAACCTGCCAGTCACCTCCGCCCTCCTCGCAACCCAGCTCCGAGGCCACCACCGTCTTACTGCTTGGCTTGCCGTACCGCTGTACGATTTGTCGTACCTGGGAGCACTACTTCCTCTTCAGCGGAGGACGCTGGCGCAGCGGCGGCGTCTGGCGCGCCGCTTCACACGATTGCCGGAATTGGAGTTGTGGCTGTGGCAGTACAGGGCCTGTCGGCAGTTGGTGGTTTCGGCGCTGCTTTCCGTGCCGATGACGGCGCTGGGCATCGTCGGGTGTCTGCGAGCTTGGTCGACGACAACGCAGCAAGCGGCGCTGGGAGTGCTGACGGCGGCCACGTTGGTTTCGGCGCTGCAGGCTGCCGTGGGCTTTGGCGAGGCGGCGCTAAACGCACGCTGGGCGGATCAAATGACGTTATTGTCGTACTCGATGCTGGCGCTGCAGCTGCGTGGCAGCAAGAAGCTGCCGTACGAGTGGCAGGTAGTACGGTCGTAGTGGGCCCCTGGGCTGTTCGCATGACAAGCACACCGGGGGTATGCAATGTGCGGAGCTGTACGGATGTGGGTTTCGGAGCGCGGCCCGCCTCCAATCCCGCCATGCTCCTTACTAGCCAAAGATATGTACCTTTTCTCTCTCAACCATGACTTTAACTTAACCTTGACAACCATAACAATCTTACCTTATTTGGGCTGACTATTCTTAGCAGTACGTATTACAGCGAGCGAGCCCCAGACCCCAAGGTTACAACTAGTGATTCGTCTTACCCCTAGGGATTATAACCCAGGGTAGGGCCACAAGGTCCACAGCATGGTCCCTGCACGGTCTGTTCTTGTCTTGTCCGGTGTCATGACAGGCGCTGCTGGCGGAGCGGCGGCTGGTGGTAAAGCCCGATTCACCTGACTTTTTCGAGCTGAGTCGGGCACAGCAGTGCCAGGTGTTGAGACTGGCCCTCCAACGGCCCCACTTCGCCATCTCCAACGTCGTCACGCACCCGCGGCCGCCGCCAAGGAACTCCAAACCCCCCAGACAGCAGCAGTCGCCTGCTCCGGCCGCGGCGGGGCTCGGCAAGGCGGCGGAGGCCGGGGCTACGGCTGGCGCCAACGGCTGTGGCGGCGGCGCTGGACTGGCGGCGATAGCGGCGGCTTGGGGCCGGATGGGGGATGTAGCGGCGGCGGCATGCAGCCGACTGCCCTGGTGCAGGTGGGAGTCTGCAGGGGGGAGCAAAAGGGGGGGGGGGAGGGGGGGGAAGGCGCTGTAGGGTTCTCTACTTGGGAAGCCCTCTTGTGAACAGCTCCTTGGTATTATATATATATATATATATATATGCATAACTGCTGCTTTCCATATATGTAGCACTCGGCTACTGTGTACCATACGGACTCTTTTTCCGACATGCAGCACTCCTCCCCACTTATGTGGATTTTTTTTCATTTCTCAAAGTGGAACAAGTGGAACAAGGAAATGCCACCCGCATTTCCTGCCGTCCCGCAGACCCGCATGTTGCGGCCCAGGCCGGCGGCGCCGCCGCCGCGGCTCTGCTTCAAGCTCTGACGACTCCGACGACGACGAGGAGTACGGCAGCGGCGGTAGGCGGCCGCAGGCGCCCTTTTCTGCCTGTCTGTTGCTTCAGAGCAAGTCCGCCGTTAAGTCGGTTGTAGGTCTTTTGGCGGGACCGCTGGCGGCGGCGAGGAGTACGTTGGCGGTTAGCGAGTTTTCGGTTAATCTGGTTTCATTTTCTGATGCGGCAGCCTGCAGGTAGGGGAGGTGGTGGGATGGCGGGCGGATGAGGATGGAGAGGGGCAAAGGGGGAAGGGGGGAGGTCGTTAGTTGGAGCGAGACGGAGAACTTGGTAACGGGGAAGGGGAGGGGGGGAATATCGTAGCGGGCGTTCAGTAGGGCTTTATGTGTGTGGGGTGGGGGTAGTGGGTGTGCGTGTGACGGCCCATGCACGTATGCGCGTATCATCTTTCTCCTGTCGTACGTCAACCTTTCTGAGCGCACGTCGTGGTCTCCGCTGACTCCCTGCCCCACCCGCCGCCGTCTCCGATGCTTACAGACATTGTCGTACGTTGCTGGAGCTTGTGGTACGGCAGGGGCTGCGGTCGCTGGTGCTCTGTGACGCTAAGTTGCAGGCAAGCCTGTTCTGTCAAGATTGGCCGTCGCCTCTTCCCTCCTTCAGCCTTCTGCCGCTTGTGACGTTTGTCGCTTGCTTGAGCCTGGCTCTGACACTTGGGGTGACATCTTCTTTTCCTCTGCCCTGTCGTACAATGCCTTACAGTTACTGTACTGCCCTGTCGTACTACCCTCGCAGTTGGACTTTTTTGGAGTGCTCACATCGTACCTCCCCTCCCGTAGCTGTGTCCTAACAAAGCTGGTGCTCAAGGACGTCATGTCCTGTGGAAGTGAGAAGGGGCTGCTGGGGTTTGTACGACAGTGACTGTATACGACAATGTGTACGACAATGATGGACATTGTACTCGTTGGAAGCGGGAGCGGTGGCTTTCTAAAATTCCGAGTCCCATAAAAATGTTATAGGATCCCTGCGATGCAGAGTCAGGTTGAGGCGATGTGATTAGGATGAGTGAATGGGAGGGCGTGGGGGAGGCTGGTCCGCGGTCGGCGGACTTCCTAAGCGCCGTACACCCAACCCCAAAACCAAAATAATCATCGCAAGACATCCGAACACACACACACGCACACACACTTCCCCTTTTTTCCAACTGTCAACTCATCCACATTTCCCCCCCCCCCCCGCCTTGCCCTGCCCCTGCCCCCTCCTCCCCGTTCGAACAGTCGGCACGCTGTGTATGCTGTGCGAGGGGCTGTCCCGTAACTCCAGTGTCGTACATTTGGATCTGTCCAACAACCAGCTGTGGGGCCTGCGAGGCGCCAAGGAGCTTCGGATGGCTCTGAGGGGCACGGGGGGGCTCAAGGTGTTGCTACTGCCGTTTTGCAACATCGCTTCCTTAGGTGAGGGGGCAATAAGTTAACCCCCTAAAAAACCGGCAATTGACCTGCCGCTTCTTGCACACGTCGATTCCTCTCTCTCTCCCCCCTCCTACCGATTTCTCCTCCTCCTCCTCTCTGTTCCTCGCCTCGCCGCATCCAATGCATTTCCACCCCGCCCTCCTCCCTCCCTACCTTCCCTTCGGACTCCAATCCCAGGCGCGGCGGAGATCCTTCGCGGCGCGGCGGAGTGCACCACCCTGGAGCAAATCGACTTCAGCCAGAACCATATCGGGGATGACGTACCGGACTGGTCAGATGTAACTGACTGGCGAAACACGGCCATGCGGGAAATAGACCTCAGCTTTAACTGGATCCAGGTGGGTGGGTGGTAGTGGGTGGCGGTGTAGGTGGGTGGGGGGTGGGGGGCGGTGGGTGGGTGGGGGGTCAGTGCCGGTTGAGAATGGTTGGCGCAGTGGCGATAGAGGTGGCACCTACCGGCACGTCTGTGTGTGTGTGTGTCTCGTTTTCCACATCTCTCTCTTGGTTTCTCGAGGTCCGTTTGGTGCATCGGATCGTTGCCACATGGACAACCCCCCCACACAAACACACACACACACACTCACACATTACACATTACACACACAGACATATTCCCGGGCTTCCCCCCCCACAACAACAACACATCAAGACGTATCACCCATCGTCCCATCCGCACCTTTCCACACGACGCATCTCCACCCTCCCTTACCCTCTCCTCCCCCCAGCTTCGCCCTTTCCACGACCTCAAAGCAGAGTGGTAGTCGATAACTAATAATTAAGCACACGTGCGGTTTGAGGCCTTTTCCCCCGTTGATATTCCAATCCTTCCTCAAGCTCTCCTAAAAAAAACCACCATGAAGCCCAACCCCAAACACCCCTACAACGTTAACCCAAAGTACGTTGTAATATGCTACACCCCCACAAACACACACACCCTTATGATTCATTACAAGTCCACCTTGTTCTCATGCCGCCGCCAGGATTCCCTGATGGGCTGGACTGCCGCCCTCTTGGAGGCCTTCCCCACCCTCCGCCAGCTCCACCTCAACCACAACAGCGACGCCGCCGCCTCCCGAGTCGCCTCCCGAGCTGCAACACCAAAGTAAGTGCGAGGGTGGGAGGGGTGTGTGTCTGTCTGTGTGTGTCTGTGTGTGTGCGGGTGGTCAGCGGGCGCGTTGAAATGAGTAAATAATGAGTAAGTCAGCGCTGACGTGCGCTGACGTGCGCTCATCCCGAACTCCAGAACCCCCAAAGTCCCGAAGTGCCCACGTGGCCCCCTGGCATGTTCTACCACTTCTGGTACACTCTTGCCCTGGCAGCAGCTTCACTCGTTTGTGGTTCGTCTTTCCACCTAGCATGTAAGGTTTGGCCTTTGACGTGACGATATTTGTTGTTGGATATCGTCAAATGTCCAAGCTTACATGCTAGGGGGCCACGTGGGCACCGGGGGGTCTGAGGTTGCCACGATGGGTTTGACAGGATGTGTGAAACAGGGGGGTGTATCTTCGCCCGTGGCAGCTACCCTGCGAAACCCTGCCTTCCCCGGTATTTCGGGGCACCCTCATCCAGTCACCCTAGTCAACTTCTTAGTGGAACGCTCAGGTTCCGCACCCACCACCAGCATCCAACGGAATCTGACGGGTCGACAGCGGCCCAACTCCATTCCTGGTCGGCTCGCGGGTTAACCATATCCCAGGTCACCACCGTCCATCAACTAGGGGCGCAATGCCTTCCACCATCGGAAGGACTTTTGACCCTAATGGGTATCGATCCCGGGATCTCCCGGGGGCAATGGTCGCGCCTTACCAGTGGTGCCAAACCCTATATAATACAAGATGTATGGATTTTACCTTGCTGAAGCCCCCGTTGGACCTACCTACCTAACTAGCTGCCTACCTACCTTCCTGCCTATTTACCTTCCTATCTACTTACCTAACGACCTATCCACCAAAGTACCTACCAACCGCGCCATTTCATGTATGTCCTTGACAACCGGATTTACTCTGTCAACACCCTGTCCCCATAATGCGTTATATCGGACATATATATACATATGTATATATGGAAGTCTGTAAAGTAATAGCGAAATCATTCCAGCCACGAACTATGGACGTCGGCAGTTGGTTCGTTTCTCTTTGCATGTGATGAACAAACACCCACCTCACCGCCCGCCTTGACCGCCTGGTCCTCGAAATGAATTCCCGTGGGTGACCCCCACCCCCCCCACCCCACCCGCAGGTTGATGACTCCCAGGACCCTCACCCCGCGCACGCTGACGCCTTCCAACCTCCGAATGGCCAGCTACAGCACCCCGCCCGCCCCTCTCGCCATCGCCGCTGCCGCTGCGGCGGCGGCGGCGACGGCGGCGGCGGTCGGCACGCCTTCGTCTGGGGTTACCGCCGGCGCTGCAGCCACCGCAGCAGCCACCAGCGGTCCGTCTTGCTCTCCCTCTATGCGCGATTCTGGAGCGGCGCCAATATCTTCCGGTCCTGCTGCAGCTGCCGCGCCACAGCCGTTGCTACAGCCGACCCCTGTGCTGTCACCGTGCGCTTCGGACAGATACGAACAGATGGCATCTTCGCCGCCCCCGCCGCCGCCGGCACTGGCGCCGGTGATGTCGACGTCAGTAGGGCTATGGAATTTGCCGCCGCCACCGCCGCCTTTGTCGCCATCGTCGTCACTTCCGCCGCCTGGAGGGTGTCCCGCTCTGAGCTTGAGTGCTCCGTCGCCGCTGTCTGTGCCGACATCCCCGGTGGGTCCTAGGAGTGATGCGCGTGTGTGTGTGTGTTTGTGTTTGTGTGTGTGTTTGGGGAGGGGGTGTTGGTACGTTCCCGCCCCCCCGCACCGACAGGAATCACGATTGTAGGATCCCCGCATGGTTACATGGAGGGTGCGGGCGCCAGTGCTGATAAAGTTACGGCCCTCCTAGTCGTGCCTGTATGTATGTAAGCACGTAAGTGTGTAAGCTTGTAGGTATGTATGTTTGTTCATTTGTTTGTTCGTTTGTTTCTGTGTGTATGTATGTATGTGCTCGCAGGTGCCGCCTCTTCGGCAGCCCACTGGCGCGAACACTGCCCTGCATTCCGGTGTGGCCAACAACAGCTCCACTTTCAACGCTTCGGAGCTCCAGGTGGGTCAGTTGGGAGCGCTGCCGCCCCCGGGGGTAAGGTTGGGAGCACTGCCGGGCCGCGGATGTGGATGGAGTGTGCTGAGAGGGGGCCCCTTTACGGGAGTGTGGGCGGAGGGTTCGGGGGTTGGGGGGTTGGAGGAATAAGTTGTAGTGGTTGAGTGGTTGAGCTTGCACCCGGTGGTTCGTCTGTCCGTTCGCCAAGTTCCGTTGTACCAACAAGTTCGGCGCCCACCCTGTCCAGCATCGCACCTTGTCGTATCGTCCCGTACATGGCCCCAATGTACACCTTTTCCGTACAGAATTTTTTTAATAAGCGGTCTAGTCGGATTTTACATACATACATATAAGGGTTTGGCACCACTGGTAACGCGCGACCATTGCCCCCGGGAGATCCCGGGATCGATACCCATTAGGGTCAAAAGTCCTTCCGACGGTGGAAGGCATTGCGTCCCTAGTTGATGGACGGTGGTGACCTGGGATAAAGTTATCCTGCGAGCCGACCAGGAACGAAGTTGGGCCGCTGTCGACCCGGCAGATTCCGTTGGATGCTGGTGGTGGGTGCTGAACCTGAGCGATCCACTAAGAAGTTGACTAGGGTGACTGGATGAGGGTGCCCCGAAATACCGGGGAAGGCAGGGTTTCGCAGGGTAGCTGCCACGGGTGAAGATACACCCCCCGGTTTCACACATACATACATGCGGACGCATCCCCCGACGCGGGCAGGCACACACCCACATTCAAGCAGCTGCGGATCCGTCCGGCCGCAGCCGCGGACAGCACCTCATTCCCCACTTGGAGCTGTACATACTGCAGCGCCCCGCTGCTGCTGCTGCTGCTGCTGCTGCTGCGGCGGCGGCGGCTGGCGGTGCCGGCGGCGGCGGCGGCTTTGGTCGCGACGTAGGCCGGCGGAGCTTGGGTCACGACTCTGTTCGGGCGGGTGTGGCGGGCTTACTACCTTGCGGCGGCAGCGGCGGCGGCGGCTGCTACAGCGCCGCGACGCCGTTGTTGATGCCGCTGACCCGTGGGTCGCTCACACGCGGCTCCGGAAAGTACTGTCCCGGCGGTGCCGCTGCTAGCGGCGGCGGCGAAAGCCGCCCTCCGTGCAGCTTGTGGGCTGCGGTGGCCGCGATGGACCGACTTGACATCCGGGGGCTCGCGCTGCCGTCGTGGTGGGTTCGCAACCCCGCTCTGCGGCCCGGAAGTGTACTGGTGGATGAGTCGCTTGTCTACGAGGAAGCACCGCCGCATGCGGCGCAGCAGCTGCCGCCGCCGCCAGCGGCGGCGGCGGCGTTGCCACGGACTGCAAGCGGCGGCGGTGGCTGCATGCTCGAGCTGCCGCATCACGCGGTCAGGTCTTTGGAGTCTGGACTAGCGCAGGGCCTGGTGATCATTGATCTTAATGTGAGTTGTGCTCCAGGGGAAGAAGGATGTGGGTTGGTGTGGTTTTAAGTCCGGAAGGGAATGAAAATTTTCCCGTGGGGGCCTCTCCGCCCTGTAGTGCATGTGCGGGGGGGGAACGAGGGGGAGGGGGAAGGCGGGAAATGACGTGTGTGTGTGTATGGAGGGGGGTCGGTGTGAGAGGACAGGGGCAATAAAGTGCATGGCTTGGCTTGGCACGGCGTAGTGCGGTGTGGTGTGGCTGGTGTTAAACGGAGAGGGGGGGGGGTTGTACGGCTCTCTGCTCTGATGCCTTTCCTTTATGTCCCTCCTCCAGGTCGTTCGCCAACGCCACCGCTACCGACTCAACTACTCCAAACCCTCCTCCTCCAAGCCCTCCTCCTGCAGAACAGAACCACCCTTCCTCCCCGCTTTGTTTAATTCTTTGTTTAAATTTTTTTTGTTTAAATCTTCGGACACGATTTGCTCCTGCCCCTGCCTGCTGCTGCACAGGCCCCAGAGTATAAGGTCATGCACCGCAGCCAACAACTGGCGGCGATATACGTGGCGCTGCAGTTTGCCACCCACATCACCATCTGCAACAACACCCGCGGCGGCACCGCCGGAGGACTGCAGCAGCAGCAGCAGCAGCCGCTACACTCCCTGGCGTCAGGTTCGCTACATCCGCTGCAGGTCGCCGGCGGCGCTGGTGGCGGCGGCGTCATGCTCACCCGTTCCGCCACCTCCTCCCTAGCGCGGACGAATTCGGCTACAGCTGCGTTCGCACTCCACGCCAGGCCGCTCAGTGGCGGCGCTGACGGCGGCTGCGGCAGGCTCCTCTCGGAGAATGGCTACGCCGTCGCTGGTGTTGGCGGCGCGTCATCACCTCGACCGGCGCCGCCGCTCCCGGCCCCGGTGCTGGCGGCAGGTCGTAATGCGGCAGGTCCCGGCGGCGGTGTTTGCGCGGTGACTAGTATGGGGTGCGCAAGTTCCTTCCGCAGCGGCGGCGGATGTCACGGAACCGCATCGGCGTCACCGACACCACCGCTGGCGGCGCTTGGCTCGAGTGATTTCGGCGGCGGCGGCGGGCGGCTGTCGGTCAATTGGCGTGGCGGCGACGGCAACGTCAGCAGTTTGCACCGGTTTGCTCTGGAACGCGGCGGTAACAGCTTCACTTTAGCTGCCGGCGGTGGCGGCGGCGGTGGTGGTGGCGGCGACAGCACAGGGAATGCCGCTGCCGCTGCCGGCGGAGCTGCCTCTGCAGGCAGCTCCGGGCTGCCGCGTGCTAGTAGCGGCTTGGGCCGCGGCTCCGTCACTCCTTACCATTGCGCATCACGCAGCCTGCGCGCGTCAACTACAAATGTTTACAACCACCATCACAACCAACAACTGCAAAACCAGCGCCGCTCGTTCCGAAAGCAACTTAGCTTGCGCAACAGCAACACTGCCGCACGCACCATGACGCAGCAGCATGCCGCTGCGGTGGTGCCGTACTCGCCGCGGCACCGATTCTCTTCAACGGCCGTCCTGTCCGGCGGCAGTGACGCCATAAGATCCATTCGGTCCCCCGACCGGCAGCTAGAGGCCGGCGGCGGCGGCGGCGGCGGCTCCGCCGCTGCCACCGCCGGCACGGCGCCTGTCATCACGGTCTGTGGCGGCGGTGGCGGCCCGGTCTCTGCGCCGCTGGTAGGCCACCAGTCCAACTTGCTCTGGAGCGGTCATTTGGCGGAGCCGGCCTTGACGGAACGACAGCAGCAGCAGCAGAAGCTGCTACAGTCTCACTTTCATCCGCAAGCTACGTCCCCTCAGCAGACCGAAAGCCTGCAGGTGCCTACATATGCGGAGACCGTAAGTCCCCAGGTCGCCCCTGCCAAAGACACCAGCGCCGCCGCCAGCGGCGGTGGAGTGACAGGTCCGGCAGGGGCTCCAGGGATGAGCTATCGCAGGTCGTACGGCCGTAAAGGGGGAGGAGATGCGGCAGTAGATGCGACAGGAAGTTTGGAGGAGCGTCATGTTCAAAGAGGGCTGATCACTCCAGGGAACGCTGCCGCGTTGGACACGGTGGCGGCGGCGGCGGCGGCTGGCGAGGCGGTGTCCGGGGAGGCAGTGGCGGAGGGCGCTGACCCACGGGTCGTCGGGAGGTCGTCTTCGGATTTGATGGACGTTACTGGCCTTTCAGAGCTCGCCATGACGGTGAGCGGTTGGCGGTTGGCGGTTGGGAGGCAGCGAACGAGTGCACGTTGCGATTTGTAAATTAAAGCCTGTTCTGGCAATGCTTGTCGTGCATTATGGTGGTAAAATACCATGTTATGGTGGCATGTTCGGGGAAATGGCTAGTGTTCTCCATTTGGCGTTGGATACGTTAGATATGGCGGGAAGAGTATGCTATGATAGTATTGGCTGCAGGGGTGAGAAGGGGCAATTTGTATTAGGCATACGGCAGCCCCTGCTGTTTGGGGGGGTTGGTTTGGGGCGATGTATGTTTACAGGATGCGGTGATGGTGGGGCAATGTGGCGGTGTGTTGTGATTTTGGTCCATGCGGACGGCACGACGCTGTGTTTTCTCCCTCGTGTAGGGTGTCGTACCAACGGCGGATTGTCTGCGAGCTGATGTGCAAAGGCTTTTGGAGGACGACGCCACCACCAGCGCACACTTCCCGTCGTCGTCGAGGCAGCCAAGCCGCTGCCTCACGGCTTCCGCGCCGTCAGTGCTCCTAGGAGTCAATGCCGCTGCCGCTGCCCCAGCCACAGCTACCGTTGGTAGTGACGGCAGCGGCGGCGGCACCAGGACCCTTCGCGGCGCAATGCCGCGTCTGAAAACGCCTGGCGTGTCTCTGGCAGGCGTGGCCGTCGAGCATGAGAGGACGGGGATGTCCGGTGGCGGCGGCGATGTCGGGGGCGGCGGCCGTAGCTACGGCGGCACCGCCGAGGGTCGGAGCCTGGCTGGCAGCGCTGGATCCCGCCCTTCCTCGTTGCTGTTGGAGGAGGGCATGGCGGCGGAGATGTTTGACGCGGGGCTGGCGATCCTACGGGGTGACGGCGGTAACAGCAACAGCAATGTTGACCAAGCGGCGCCGCGGTCACCGCCGCTGCTCACCGCCAGAAATGCCGCCGCGGCACCGCAGAGCGGCAACCCTTCCGCGAACCAAACGCTCGCGGCGGCGGGTACGGCGATGCTGGCCGGCAGCACCCCAACGGATGCGGCGGCGGCGGCGGGTACGGCGGCGGCTCCACGGTCGTCTCCTCCTGGGCCGCTGTCCATTCTGGCCGTGGGCTCACCCCGTGACCTGCCACTCAGCTCCTTTTCCTTTGTGCCTTGCGCACGAACATCCTTGGAGGGTTCCGTACAACAGTCCACGCCGGTTGCCGTACAAAAACTCTCGCCATCTTCACGGTCTCCGTTGGGGTTCTCGCCGGCGGCAGGAGACTCGCTCGGGATGGAGCTGGGGCCTGCGACAGCGGCAGCGGCAGCCGCAGCCTCGCAGATGCCGTACATGGACGACGCAGCGTTCACTACACTGTGGGGCCATTCCATGGGCGAGGATGACGCCGCCACCGCCGACGGCGGTGCAGATGGCGGCGGCGGCGGCGGTGAAAAGGTGCCTATGAACGGCGAGGAAGAGGAGTTGGAGATTTCTTTCCGAGTCGACGCTGCTGCCATGGCTGCGCTCCGAAGCCTCCAACGAAGCTCCAGAAAAGGCTCTGGCGGCGCTGTTGGCAACGCCAGCCGCGTCATGACGGCCCTTGCGGGGATGACCCAGGTTGAGGCGGTGGGTGAGCTGCCGTCATCGGATGTCGCTGAAGCCGCCGCCGGCGGTGGCGGTACGTCCGCCTCCGCCGCCGAATCGGGGCCGCTGGAGCTCTTGCAGTTTCGGAGCGGCAACAGCGGCGGCTCATCGCGGCCGCTGCCGGGGGCATCAACACCATCGTCGCATCGGGGCGCGCAGCCACCCATGACTGCCGTACTACTGGCGGCAGCCACCGCCGCCGCAGCGCGCGACAAGCCAGCGACGGCGCCAGGGAGCGGGGCCGCTGCAGGCGGCGGCGGTGGGCTCCCCCCGCCAGCAGGCGATCCCCGTCAACCCGATCCTAAAGGCCTTGGAGCAGTGGCCGTGGCGGCGGCCGTACCCATACCGGATCCGAAATCATTGCCGTACACGCCGCAACCGCTGCTTTCCGGTGTGGGAGGCCACGCGCAAATCGACTTTGTGGGCGGCGGCGGCGGTGGCGCCGCCGCCACCGCCGCTACTGGGCCCAGCGTAGCAGCGGGAGGTGCGTTTCCGCTGACGGCGTGGGGATCGCCCAACTCGCATCAGCTCCTCCTTGCATCTGGTGGCGGCGGCGCCGCTGCCGGCATTTCGGTGTCCCGTGCGTTCTCCCGCGTCCGTGTGACGTCCCCCCTGGAGCCCTTGAGCGACCAAGGGGATAGCGCAACCGACCCAGATATGACCACGACGACAGGGACCGCCGCTACCGACGTCATCGGGTACGACCGCGGCAGCGTCAGCACCGGCGCAGCCGTCTCTGGCGGCTGTTTCGCGACCGCCACCGCTGCCGCCTCGGCGGCGGCTGCCGCCGCCTCATCGACCGGTGGCGGCGGCCATCCACAGCTTGTGTCGCCGTCGCTAGGTGGCCCCGGCGGCGCCAGCGGCGGCCCACTGCGCATTGCCGTCGGCTACACCACAGGTGGCGGCGGCGGCGGCGGCCCTGGCGGCAGTGGCGGCGCGTACGTGGGCGTGGAGGCGAGCAATGCGGTGTCCGTGGTGATTGTTATCGGGTACGACGGGCAGCTGCGGGTGCCGCTGCGCTGCTTGGAGTTGCCGCTGCGCGGTGCGATGGCTCGGCGGCCCGGAACCACGGTGTCCTTCCGAGTGACCGGTCTCAGCCACGAGGGGATGCGGCAGCTGCGAGCTCTTATGGCCGTGGCCAAGGTAGGGTCGGGTTGGAGGCGGCGGCGGGAGGAGGAAGAAGGGGGGAAGGGGCGCAGAAAAAACTGGTGGGCCGGAACAGCCAGGATAGCAATGGTGCATCTCGTGGTGTAGCAGCGTTACTTCTGTACGGTCTCGCAAGAGGGGCAACTGTGTCCAGTACTGAGTAAATCCTAAACCCGTGGGACACTGCTAACCGCCAACCTGCCAACCGCCAACCGTCAACCGCAGGTACCCATGCCGGAGCGTTCCTGCGCTTGGCTGCTGCCCTCTCAGTCCATGCAGCTGTACACCAACACAGGATACGTAGCTCCTGGCGGCAGCGTCGCTGGCGGCGGCGGCGGCGGCGGCTATTTGGCTATGCCAAGTGTGGGCAGCTCTCAGGCCCTACATAGTGTGGTATCCAACCTGGTCGCAGGTAGCGGATACGTCAGCCAAGGCTTCTTCCAGCATCAGGGCATCGGCGGCGTCGGCGGCGGGCCAGGTTCGGCGGGCGGCGGCGGCGGCATGCTGGCGTCTCGCGCCGTGAGTCGCATGGATTCAGGTGTAGTGTACGGCGGCATGCCGTCGTACTTTTTCGACAACCGCGGGCAGCCGATTGACCTGGGCTTCATCCTGCCACCGCCGACGACGACGACGGATAGCGCTGAGCCGTCAGGCTGTCTGTCCGTCGCCACCAGCACGCTTACCGCGAATGTCGTACAACCAGGGCAGTTACTTACGGGGACGGCGGCGGCGACGGCGGCGACGGCGGCGGCTGGGATGCATCCCCCGCCTGGTTTTGAGTTGCCGCAGGCTGCGCCACTGGTGCCGCCGCCACGGTCTGCCGCGGGCTCTTGGACAGTCTCCGTCACAGGGCTTGTGGCGGCGCCGGTGCCGCCGGTGCCGCCGCCGCTATCTTCGCCGCCAACATCTGGCCCAGCAGAACCTTTACAGCGAAGGCCATCGCCAACGTCAGCATCAGCTGCCACTGCGGCCGCCGAGGTCGCCGAGGCGGCCGGACTAAAAGAAGAGTGGCGGCGCTGCTGCTTGGGAGCAGAGGCGCTCAGCGGCAAAGATGGTTTGCAGCAGCAGGACACTGTACGGCAAGACGGCGTCACTGGCGGCGGCGCCACCGCAGATCTGCTGCCCCCGTCGCCGTTTGAAACAGTTGTTGGCTGCCGTGGCCCTCCTAGTGATGCGGCCCCTCTGGTGCCGCTCTCACCACTGGTGATGACGGCGACGGGCCGGGCAGAAAGCGGCGAGGCTCTTGGTAATAACCGTCACAACCGTCAACAGCCAAATCCCAACCACTCTCCTAGCGGATCGCAACAGCCAAAGCGTAGCTTTGGCATGCCGCCCAGCCTGCCTCCTGGGATCATGCTCGTGAACCTGCCGCTCAGCCGACAAGCTACGCCTCCCACCCCCGTCATGACCTTCAGCGCTAACCCCGGGCGTGACAGCAGCGCCGTCGCTTCAGCTGCATTTGCAGCAGCCTCTGCGGCCTTTGTACAACCGAGCGGCGCCACCGCCACCACCACCTCAACATATCACGAACGCTGTGAGGTCCACGGCGGAGGCACACGGGCATGCGGCGGCGGCGGCGGCGACGGCGACGATGCAGTCGCTTCTGGCGGCGACGATGACGACGGCTTTGAACACCCACTCTACACGGGCACACTGGAGTGCATCAATAACGACCCACGGGTCATTATGGCCGGCACACGGGTCGGCGGTGTCTTCAGCGGCTGTGGCGGTCTTGCCAGCGGCAGCTTCTCCGCCATCGGCCGCGCAAGCTTAGGCAACTTGGTTAACGACCTCGCCGCCGCCACTGCCGCCGCAGCCTCCTCGCCAGCCGCGCCGCCGCTGCCGCCGTCGGCCGCATTCACCCCAAGCTTACCTTTGACACCTAGCCCCTGGGACAGACTGGGCAGCCGGGGACAGGTCTCTGTGTTGGCGGGAGGTTTTGGAAGTTCCATACACGTCAGCGGCTCCTCCTGGATGCAAGGCATGCTGGCGGGGACCGCCGCCGCCGTCGCCGCCGCCACCGCCGGCTCGTCGTCATCAGCTGAGTCGCCTGTGCGGGAAAGCCTGGTCGGAACGTTAGCACCGCAGGTCCTAGAGCCGCTAGGAGGGCGTACGGCAGCCGGTGGAAGCGGCGGCGGCGCCGCTGCTGCTCCCGCTTGGAGTGGCGAGGCGTTGGCGGCAGCACCGCCGTCGCTACCCGAGGCGGCCCCAGCGGGGCCTGGGGCTCCTCTTGTCGCGTACGGCAGTAGTACGGCGGGTTTTCCCCAGCGCAGTAAAGGGACTGAAGGCCAAGGGCAAAGCCAGGTTCAGGGCCAGCAACTGGTGCTCCTAAGCGGCAGGATGGTGGCAATCCCGGAGAGCCGTACACTTCCCCGTCCAGCACCGGCAGCGGATTGCCGCCAAGTAGACGTTGTCGCCACGGATGTCAAGCAGGGGCCTCTTGAGTAGCTTTTAGGTACCCGGCGCATACGGCTTCGAGGGTGATGGTGGTGGTGGTGGTGGTGGTGGATGGAGGCAGAATTTGGCCTAATGCGGAATGGTATTAGGGTGGCGGCACTGATGTGTTTGTTCAAGCACTGTTGTCGTACTGGTGAAAAATACCAGATCGTACTGGTTGTGAGGGGTCATTGCGCCTGCTACGTTTAGACTTTGCTGTGGTCTCTCCCCTCCTCCCCCGCCCTCGGGATTTCGAATCACTGTCTTCTCCAATCTTTACTTGTATGTTATGATGTACTCGCGAGAACATCCAACCCGCATATCCGCAAAAAGGAATCACACAACCGCAAGTACGACACCGATGGGGTGTCCTGTTTCGGGACATGGAAGCAGCATCAGCACATGGTGTACACGGTGGACTGGGGGGAGGGGGGGTACAGCCCCATAGGGGTGTGCAGGGTGGTTGCAGAGGTGGTTACTTGCGGTCCCATGTTGTTGTTGTGGTCGTTGTTGGCGCAGCAGGGGACTTTGCCGAGTAGGACCCGCCGGCGGCCGTTGGTGCTGTTTCTCTCTCTCCCCCCCTCCCCCCCCCCTTTCCCCCCTTTCCCCCCTTCTCACTCTCATGTGGATTTGTTTTGTGTCCTCTTCTCCGCTGCGCGATCTCTTGGTCAAACCTGGGACCAGCCGGGATGCTGGGATGAATATAATAGGATATAACATGATAAGGCTACAGAGAAGGGGCGGGAGAATAAACGACGGGGACTCCTGAAGGGACTCCTGAGCACTGGGCCCCAGTGGGCCCCAGTGCAGGCATTTAGAGTGTACTCGTAGAAGAGGAGACCCTCTATTCGTCCGCCGCGACCCCATGCAGACAGAGAAACAGCATCAACAGCAACAACAACAACAGCGGTGCGCCGGGTTCTCCTCGGGATTAAATACCGCGCTAGGTATGTGCCCTTAACTCTAATGCGCGCGCGTGTGTGTGTAGGCAGGCCGCAGGTAAGGACGTGGAGGGCGTAGACAGGGGGGGCTAGGTGGAGTGCTGTTGTTGACGAGTTCATTGTTATTGTTGTTGCGGTGGTGGTGGTGTGGTGGTGGAGGGGGAAATTAGCACCAAACCACCCAAACCGCGGACTTGAGGCCCCGCAACACCCGTTGCTCGTAACGACAATTGCTGATTGTTTGTTGTTCTGCTTTGGCTTTGTATCGGCTGCTTTGTTTTGACTTCAGTAGTGTAGTGCTACCCGCCCCCGCCCACCGGTGGGGTAGGCCAGCCCTACCTTCTTTTACGTTCGTTTCCGTGCTGTGCGTCTTCGTTGTCGTTGTCGTTGTGATCTCTTTTTCAGTTTACTTGTTTCAGCTTACCCGGGGAGGGGGAGGGGGAGGGGGATTATGTTTCTTTGGAGGAATGTGCGTTATATGTTCACGTGCTTAGGAGGTGTACGACTCTGCCGAGGCTGTGGAGAGGCTGTACGTACGGCGAATGGCTTCACGGTTTCAGCCCGCGTCCGTCAGAGGTTATAGAATAAAAAATTGGTATTAATTGCATTATATTGCTATAAGTATCCCGGTACGTTGGGGATGACAACGCAGGAAGTGCCCCCCGGGGTGCATTGTGTTTATTTTTCCAAACTTGCAACAGAGCCTCTCGCTTCACATGATGCATATGCATGCGATGACTGCACGTGCGAATCATGCAGAGAGAGAGAGAGTTCCCTGCCTGAGTTCCCTGCCTGTCTGTCTGTCTCTCTGTGGCGTCTTCTCATCATCTTCACTTCCTTTCCCGTTTCTGCAGGTCGTAGGCCTTTCACATGTGCTCACACGCACGCTTGTGGTGGGGGCCGGGGGCTCTGGTCCGCATGTACACAAACCTGGATGCATGTGTGTGTGCGTGTGAATGTATGTGTACTTCAAAAGAAGTTGCGACCTCAGGGGTTACAGACTCGACTAGTAGTAATGATACTACCTGTTCATGTTCACGGCAAACCTGTTGTTCATTAATTATTATTTATATGCAGAGGCTTTGCAGCTGACTGTGAACACTGGCTGTTGAAGATTGTAATGTGCTGCTGACAGCGCTTTAGCCGCGCTACGTTGGCACACAGCCGCACAGCGAGAGCTGGCGAAGACATCCGAGGTCCGGGAAATACCTAATAATAGCTTTGCTCTCAGATTACTGTAGTTACACAAGTACGACGCATGCAAGGACATGTATATGATGTGCCTCTATATAGCGAATTGGACATGCACAGCTCTATTAATGCTATACACGTAAGTGTGACACATACATACATAGATACATACATACATACATACGTGGACGCGATACATACACGCACACAATGCAGCCAATTAGGCGAAGCCAGTGCCCCAAGCAGGAAGGGGAACGCCGTGAGGTCGGATACGTAATACGGGCTGTCACTACACATACCCCCGTACTTCCGTCTCAGCGCCTCACCCCGCGGACTCCTTCCCTCCGGCCCGCTCCCGCAACCTCACCTCACCCCTAAATTGGTATCACCCTTTTGGTATCAAGACATTGACCGCCGCCGCCCTCGACCTACATGCTCCTGCGTGTTGTCCTTCACAGCTGTTTTCCCTATCCAAAGAACTATCCGAAAATCCACGAGCTTTGTACTACACGCCTTACCTATTCGTACAAAATCTCATTCGCTCGTCCTCAACATTATAAAATATCTCTGTCGCCGTACGACGCGACCGCCAAGGTATAATATTACGTCACATCGCAGGGCCCGACAGCAGCCCCTTCCTGCCCCCTTCCGAATCTCCCGCGCGGAGGTCGCTGCCAAAGACCGCAAGAACGCAAATGAAACCAAAAACTGCGGAGCAGGATGTGGAGGTGATATGCCCCACCCTTCAGTAAGAAATATGCCGCTCGGGTAATGTACGGCATAACGTGTACGACGTGCAATGTGGCTCATATGCACATATATAGATACAGTAATGTGCGCGCAGTGTTATAGTTGTCGGGCTCGGTTTACAACCGGAAAACAACCGTGTGTGTGTGTGTGTGTGGTGGTGGTGGTGGGGGTACCCTGGCTGGATTTCCCCCCCCGTCCCCAGCCCCATCCTAAAAATGGTAAGCACGCCAGCTTGGTGACTACAACTTAAGAACACACCCACCCATATCCAACTTTTAAATATTGCAGCAAACACACTTCTCCGTATCCATCCATCCATCCATCCATCCATCGATTTTGCATTCCTGCAAGCAACGATAACGAGGCGGCGGTCCATCCCCGACCAGCCACAAATCCATCATATCAGGCTAGCTGTTACATCACGGCGACTTCAGAAAAGGCAGATCCGATCGGCGGATGCAGATCCCGTGGGATATGCCCCGGATACCAACACCTTCCAGGAAGATATGAAATCTGGTTTCCACCACCTAATGAATCACTGATGCTGCCCTACACCCCACCCCGCTGAAAACCCCCCCTTTTACAGAAGCGCGCGCATCCAGGTTTGCTGTCGTACAGTCACAGAGCGCACACAACCGTATGGCACTACCTAACGCGCGGAATAGTACGCAGTTGGACGAGCTTGCTGCACAGAAGAGACAGACAAACAGACAGACAGACAAGCAAACAGATCGACACGGGAGCAGCATTTAAATATTCCCTCGGGCGCCCTCATCATCGGCGCAACACATCTCACGTCTGCAGCGCGCATCACGGGAACCCCGAGAGAGATGAGAATCCCAACCGCCTCCTGCCGCCATCATCATCACCGATCTAACCCAAAATGGCGATGAGAATGATGATACTGACGAGGAGGAGGATATCGTCCACGACATCACAAATTAAGAGCCCACCGGTATTGTAGCTTCAGCAACACACCGCAGGTACGGCATGAATAGGCTCTTCATGCCGTACACTGACCACATACACATACATTCATTCCTTGCATACAACAATCGGCGGGCGGCTGGCAGAGGTTAAGGCCTGGCTTCTGCTCCCGGCGCGTTACGGCACGTCCGGGTTCAAATCCGCCTGCCGACCTCTCGGGGTGTTTGAGAGGTGTTGAAATGGGAGGTGGCCCCCCATCTTATGGACGGTGTAGGACGTGATAAAATCAACTCGCGAGCTGACCAGGAACTAAGTTGACGCGCCGTTGATCCGCTAGATTTGGTTGGATGCTGGTGGTGAGTTGCCAAACTCAAAGAGTACACTCTGAAGTCGGATGGGGTGAATGGCTTAGGGTGCCCCTCTAGCAGGGGAGAGCAGGGAACTGCCTCGGGAAGGAGGCCACTGGTGAAGCTTAACCACCCTGTAACAACATCAACATCAACAATCTTTTTGACGTCCATCCATCCATCCATACATACATACACCGGGCTCCCACATAATCCTTGTGCACGCTGCTGCTGCTGCTGCTGAGATTGTGCAAAATGCAGAGCAGCATTATATATTTTGTAGCTCCAAAATGTCCGTACAACGGTGCGGCATTTGCATAACACAGTCACGTTACGGGCAACCCGTCAGCAATACTATAAACCCTCCGTTCATCGATCCCCCCCCTCCCCCTCCCCCTCCGCCACCACGAACATCAGCTGCAAGTAACTAACCCCACATACCCTAGACGGTGCATTGGTCCATCTGTCTATCTGTCTGTCCATCACTTCCTTTACCCCCATCCTTCTCTTATCCTGCCGCCTTATCGACACACCGCCGCGACCCCTTCATATCATTCACGGCATCACACCGCCGTACTGACCGATGCTTCACACCAACACTAACCGCCGTACACTCATGCACAACAGTATTGCAATCGGTGTCCTGCAACCCGCAAATCACAAATGCTTTCACAGCCCCACGGCCCTTTAATCAGGTGGGCTTGGCGGCTGGTCGATTGACTATACGCACAAAATTGGTGTGGCGGTTGGTTCGCCGGGGGCCTCCAACCTCCAACAAAAACGAACAAAACTGCTGCTGGCGGTGTGGAGCGGTGGCCCGGAAGACCGCCCAGCTGCTGCCGCCATTGCGATGCCAATGCGCGCGTGTGTGTCTGTATGTATGTGTCCGCAGGTCCGTATTCGGTACTGCCAACGTCATCATAACATCATCATAATGCCGCTGTTACCCCTCCTCAGCACCAACCACCATGCCGTACACCGGCCAGATCGAGACGCCCCCCTGGTCTCCCACACGCCGCATTGATCTAAAGCCAAATGTGTCGTGTCCACTTCTTCCCCCCGCACACACAAACACACTCACTGGTGGCATCATCACCATCACATACCCGTCGGAAATCCCGCTGAGGTCTCCCGAAAGGCTGGGGAGGAAGTGGAGGAGGGTGAGCGGGAGGGTGAGCGGGAGGGGGAGGGGGAGGGGGAGGTTGACGACGAGCAGCGGACGGGGAGAAAAACGTCCCCTGAGGCCCCGGGGTTGGAGGAAGGGCGGACGCGCCCCCCCTTCCCACAGCGGATGAACTCAGAACACACAAATACACCAAAACCCAGAAAACCATCCCCTTACCTCAACACACTCCCCCACACCCCTCACACACCTACACACACAAAATCCTCACCTCCGCCCCACCATCTTCGACACCGCCAAACTAACGACGAAACCAAGGTGATCAAGAAGCGCGGCCACAAGGCCGTACACATCCAAAAACACGGACACGGGCGCACACAACCAACATCTTGAAGCCTCCAGCCTCCTCTTCCTCCGCCTCTTCAAAGGTACAAGCCAAAGTCTTCAAACCTATCGCCAACTAACCGATGACGGCAAGAGAGCGAAGGCAGGAGGACGGCACTGAAGGGCCCCCCGTGCGGCTACACGGCTACACACAACACGATGCGCCGTACAGATGGAAGAGCCGTACAGATGGAAGAGCCGTACAGATGGAAGATCCCGCAACGAGCTAGATCTTGCAAACCATATAGCCAGTTAGTTTGTACGACTCCATTATAACACAAAACTGCTTCGTCAACTACCTCACCAGCCCCTTCTCCAAGCACAACACACACATACACATACATAGGTTCACTCCGAGCTCCAGGCCCCCAACATGCAAAAGAGGGCAACAGAGCAGCACAGACAGACAGACAGAGAGAGAGAGAGAGAAGAAAAAAGTGAAGGGACGATGGCTGCGACAATGCGACAACGACGACAATATAGGACTGCGGCGACAAAACCGAACCAGGAAAAGAGGTTGGCATCATCATCTCGGAGAGTGGGGAGGAGGAGGAGGAAGAGGGGACATCTGTGGGGGGTTCGGATTATGGTGCCGCACGGTGCCGTACACGACACGTGTATGTACGAGATGACCCCGTGCCCCCAACACACAAGTGGTGCTTTGGGAATGGGGGGACGGGGTGAGGGGTGAGAGGGGTTGAGGGGGGAAGCAAATCTGACCCACCCACCCACTCACACACACACATACACGTTGGAAGCCTCGCCTGCCCCCGCCTCAAGCCACCCCACCCAATCCCAAAGGGACGGTGGTCAGTCACGCGGCCAGTCACACACACTTCCACAGCGATAAGGAATAAAAGATTATTCAGATCTGACTGGAAAAACGGTACAGGGGAAGAGGGAGGGGGCAACAGAGGGGAGAAAACAAAAAAAGAAGGAAAAAAATTGCCCTCATGCAGAATCGAATGCGCGCGGGGAAAGGGGATTGTTGTCGAGCAGTGCACACGCCGCACAACACTCGGGGGCCGCGAAAGCCCTTCCCTCCCCCTTTCTCTCCCCCCCCCAAATACACACATGTACAACCCACTCTAAAAAACTCGCACATCGACACACGGCTCCCCCGGTCCCCCTTTTTTTACACCCTTAACCTCTTTCCCCCCCCCCCCGAGGCGGAAGGTCCTTAGAATGTTGTTTTTATATCTATTCAAAACGAGGAATATATAGATAACACGCACACATGCACGCATACACATACACACGTACGTACGTATGTATGTACGTACGGTCACGTCCACAACCCCAGCTGCTGTACGGATCACCTCCTTCCACCATCCCTTCGCGTCCTCCGCCATTACGACATACATGCAGGCGGTAGTTCAGCCAAAACTAACCTCACCTCGCTCCTCACCCTACTCCTATCCCCCACCTCCCACCCAGAACCCCACATCCATCACGCCAGCTGCAGTGCACCGCTAGTGCTCCCCCCCGCACCGCCAGACAGACTCCCCCCACCACCGGCCCCGCCACCCTCAGCGCCTCCTCCGTTTCCGTTGCTGTTTCCGTTGTTACCGTTGCTACCCGCAACGGTGGACTCCGAAACGGCCCACGAACCGGCCGCTGCCGCCGTCGCCGGAAGATAGACCCCTGCTTGACTGCCCCCGCCGCCGCTACTGCTGCTGCTGCTGCTGCCGCACCGCCCCAACGAGGGCCCCACTCGCGTCTCCGCCCTGCTCCTGACCCTCTTTACGAAGTCCTTGAAGCGAGTCCAGTTCCCCGGCTCGAACATGGAGTCACACAGCCGGTTGAATACCAGGGACTGGACCTGGGAGGGTGCGGAGGGGTGGGTGGGGGAGGCGAGGGGAGGGGAGGGAAAGTGGGGGGGAGGACATCACAACATGACGATGATGGTGGTGGTGCTGCTGATAATCATGATGAACTGGCTAAGTGCCGACGGGATGGGGAGGAGGGAGGGGGGCCCCGGTGTCCAGAGAGTCCTGATGTCCCCTCCGGAGGGCCAATCCGAGGACACAGCGAATCTGTTCGCCTTTTTCCCTACCCCTGCCCCCCCCTCGCCTCTCCCCCTACCCCTCCCCCTCCTTCAAAACCGCCTACTGGTCAGTTCTGCCTTTTCCTTGGAAGCAGCTTCACTCGCTCGTGGTTTGATTTTCCCCCCCTTGCCCCCCCTTGCCCCTCCCGCTTGCCCCCCCCCTTGCCCCCCCCCTGCCCCTGCCCCCACCAACCCCTTACCCCCCCCTCACCGGCGGCAACTCAATCCCCTGCACCAACCCCGTCTCGAACAGCACCCCCTCCAGCCGCCCCAGCGCCCCCTCGTCGAACCGCTCCCAGCAGTTCTCCAACCCCACGGACACACGCAGAGCAGCCGCCACCGTGCGCTGCTGGGTCAGCTGCCGCTCCGGGTCGCAACACGCCTACGGCCGGGAAGAGGGGGAGAGGGGGAGGAACGATACCGTGATGGTGATGGTGATGGTGATGGTGATGGTGATGGTGATGGTGATGATGGTGATGATGATGATGATGGTGATGATGACGATGGTGATGGTGATGGTGATGATGATGATGGTGATGATGGTGATGATGGTGATGATGGTGATGGTGATGATGGTGATGATGAGATGCAAAGCGCAAAAAATCAATAGCCGACGCACACAACGAGGAGGAAGAGGAGAAAGAAAGAAGGCGCCAACAAAAGGGGCGGCGAACTGCGTTGCGTGGAAAAGCGAATGCTAGCAGAGCAGAGCAAAGGAAAGGAGTCAGGGAGACCTGTATGCAAAGGCAACAAGGGAAAACAGCAGCGGCCTCGACATTCAAAAAGGACGATGTGCGTGGGGGTGGGAGGGTGAGGGGTGTGTGGGGAGGCGTGGGGGAGTGTGGGCGCGGAGGGTTTACGCATCTAGGGCTCTCAGTTTGTTCGTCTGTCAGTATCTAAGTCCGTCACCGTCACCGTCATCGCCAAACCCCCAAACGCACCCACCCCAGCCCAACCGCAGTACGACGGCATACCTGTGGGTGCATTTCCCGGCTTCTTAGTTCACCGCCACGCAGTCGTACACTCACACCGTTGCGAGAGAGAACCTGACAGACAGACAGACAGACATGCAGAGCGCAGAGAGGCGAGGAAAGTTGGGCGCAGAGCGGGAGCCCCGGCGGTGGAGACACCCCACAAAAAGACAATGACCGCCGACGAACGGTTTCATAATTTCGTGTTGTTGTTTTCGGCACGGCAGTAAGTGTGAAGACCTTGCTGCGAAGACGGACCCCGGTGGTGGTGGAGGAGCTTAGACCCCCCCTTTAATTTGTGAAGCTGCTGACGAAGCCCCCCAGCCAGTCTCAATCGGTACGGGAATGAGGTTAAAAAAAGAGTCGAAAATGCGTCCGCATGTGTTTCCCGTAGTACGGATGATCCATGCCCGCGTCGATCCCGTACTTCCTCCTAGCCCGCTCCCGTTCCCCTCATCCCCAAGAACATGGTACGTCGTACGCTTGCCGTACACCGCACTCACATGCATCACCGGCAGGTAGCCATCCCGGGTTGCCGTATTGAAGTACCCTGCCGTAAGCTCTGGAGCATGTGACGCGGTGCCGTACCACCAGGATAGACTAGGAAGCTTGGCGTGAAGCCGAATGGGCAGCGGCGGCGACGGCGTCGTCATCGCCGCTACCGCCAACGCCGCCGCCCCGACGTCATCGTCCATGCTACAGCCGCCACCACCACTGCCGTATCCACCATCGTACGACGACGACGACGAAGAAGAATAAGAATAGAACGACGCCGCGCCTAAATCCAAGCCCAAACGTTGGCCCGTCACCGCCACGCCCGGCAGGGACGGCGGCGGCGGCCCAGTCGTTAGCAGTACTTGCCGTGCAATCCCAAGGACATCATCGGCGTGCTGCAGCAGCATGTCGCCGTACCACTGCAGGAAAAACTTGCCGTACGGGCTGTTCCAATTTCCCCTCTGATGGAAGAAGCCTGTTTGATGCGGCCAGACGTTGTACGAGCCCGCGTCGTGCGGCCCCCGCAGTCCCCAGGAGGGCTCATTGACTTGCTGGGCGCAGGCGCGGAGACATGACAACATGTATTTGTCGTAACACTGCGGTAATATTTGTTGTTGTCGAGGAGGAGGAGGAGGAGGAGGAGGAGGGGGAGGAGGAGGAGGGCAACAAAGAACTCAGCAGCAGCAAGGAAATCAGGACGGAGAAGAAATGCCAGAAATGTGAAAACGGAGTGCATGTGTAAACATCCTGAGAATCGGCGGGTGTGTGGACTGTGTTTTGAAACATGTGGATGGCAGGAGGATCGGGTAGGTGGGGGAGGGGAGAAGGAAGCGAGGAAGTGAAGTTGAAAAGCGTGGAAAGGTGTGTGTCTGTATGTTTGTCGTATTCGTTCACGAGCCGGGGTGTTAACGGTCCGCCACCTATATGCCCCCTCCCCCCGGTATCGACCCCCTCATTACAACCCCCTCCCCCTTCCCCTCTCCCCCTCCCCCTCCCCCCCTTTCCCCCCTCCCCTTCCCCCTCCCCCCCCTTCCCCCTTCCCCCCCTCCCCCCTCCCCCCCTTCCCCCTTCCCCCCCTCCACCCCCCGCACCCACCTGGAACTCCCCCACTCCAGGAAAGGTCCACTGCTTGCCTCGGAGGGGTTGGGCCGGGTACTTGAGCTCGCCGTCGGGGCCCAGACCTGTAAGGGGGGCGGAGTGGGCAGAGGTGGAGGAAAAGGGAGGTGGGGGAGGCGGGCGGATTGTATGGTGATGGTAATGATGACGGTGATGGTGTGGGGCTGCTGTTGCTGCTGCTGATGATGATGATGAGGCGAGGAGGAGGATGCAACTCAAAGTCAAGGAAACCACTGCCGACCGACGTCCAAAGCCGCAACTCCCAACCAACTCACCAATCAGCACATCCAAAATGGTGCTGCCCAGCAGGGGCCCCATCTCCCGCCGGAATGACGTCATCAGGTCCCGGTAGCACTCCAGGGGGGTGCGGCCGGCCAACACAGGCACTAAGAATCCCGACACAGGACCCGGGGGGTTGCCGGCGGAGGGGGGAGGGGGCCCACGCAGACCGGGCGGTGAGGTGAGACGCGAGTGCCAGACAGCAGCGGCAGCAACAAGCCGCAATGAACGAACGCCATGAAAACAAAAACGTGACGCTCATGTCCTCCGCAACCAACGATGATGCTGATGTGTAACGAGGAATTGCAACATCCTCACTCACTCACTCACTCACTCACTTACCCTCATTCGCACCCAGTGTCACAAACTCCGGGCAGCGGACCCCCTCCTTGTCTGTGTAGTATATGTCGGGGTTGGCTCTCCCCGCCTCCGCAACCCAGGAGGGCAGCGGGACCATATCGTTCCCGTGAAAACACAAACAAACCTACACGCGTGTGTGCGTGCGTGCGTGTGCGAGTGTGTTTTACCCCCGGGGAAAACACCGGGGGAGGAGGGGGGGCAAGGCGGGAGGGGGGGCCGAGCGGGAGGGAGGAGTGAAGGAACGACTAATAAACGACAGCAGAGGAAGGGGAGGAGTGAGCGGAGGGAGATAGGAACTACTACGGCTTTTGAGGCAAATTTTAGAGAGACAAGCCACGGATGGTGTGATGATGGCGACGATAGTGATAATGGTGATGGTAATGGTGATGATGACGGCATGACGAGAGGGCGGAGGAAAGGCCCCACGGCGGCATGTCACATGCACACGCGCATAGCGTGTTTCAGACGGGCCCCGCGAAACCCACATGGCCACACCTGCGCCATGAAGCCCTCGTCGCGAATGAGGGCAAGCAGCTGCTTGTACGACGACCAGTCGTACTCCCGCGGCCGTACACCCTCCACAATACCCCAATACACGTCCACACAGATGCCATTGATCCCCAGTGCTCGCAGCGCCTTGAGCCCCGAACGGAGCGCCTGAAAGGAACAATGCCGTGTGTGTGTCATGTGGGTCACGTGCTGTGTTTTGAAACAAGGACGCGCTGGCCGATTGCAACTTGAGCTGAACATAAACATTGAACTAAAATTTTACTATTAAATAGCGAACAATAGCATTGTTGCAGGTCTAAACAGGTCTTACAAAGTATTGTGCGTATGCGTATGCGAATGTGTGTGTGTATGTATGTGTGTGTGTATATGGCACCCGGATACCCACTGGGCGTTTTTCCCCTCTCCACCACCGCCGCCGGAGGTCAATCACCGCAAGCTACTGTTTGATCTGACAATCCCTTTTGTAAGTGCAATTGACAGGAGACATGCAGAGGCAGGGATGGATGGTGGGTCCTAAGCCGACCTGCTCCTCTCCGGGCGGCCGGCACATGGCGGCCGCGGTACATTTTCAGGCATATCGCAAGACGTCGTTGGTGAAAGGGACATCTGTGAGCCGTAAATGATTTGTTTTCAAGACGCACATCGCAAGTCACCGTCAGCTGAAACGTTGGTTTTGGCAAGCGAAATGGCAAATTGCGCCCGACTGTAAAACCGCCGGGCGCTTGGCTAGCCCGACAGGGTTGCTTACCTCATAGTAAGCAAATTTGTTGGCTGGCGTTAAAATGTCTCCATCGAGGCTCGTGTAAAATGGAAGCGTTGGCTCCTAGCGGCACGCGAGACGCATGAAATACAGAAGGTTGTTATGCGGTACTGCGTTAGGAAAAGACGAAATTCACAGAAGCCCCAACTGCAGTGCAAAGTCCTAAAAACCTTCCAACGCTTATTACACACATTAGCGCACATCGAGAGCGCCTTCGAGCACCGTTTTCAGTTAGACATCCGGCAAGCCGAGGCCTCTGCGTTCACCCCTCAAGATCAATAGTCGAGCAGCAAATATTTAGGGAAGTCTCTTGAAATGCGACGCCCATTAGAGCTAAGGGCGCAGCAAGCGGACGTGTACCTCGCCTTCCAGGCCTGGCCGTCCTGGCAACGGGCTACAACGACACCCCATAATACATAACACATAATAACAAACATGTGCGATATAGGCTGCGCGTTGAAAATGACCGTGGCCAGCACCTCGAGCGACAGCTGAGTCTTGCATATGCAGCAGCGACAATAGGAATTTTCAGCCTGTCCCCTGGACAGAAATCTTACCTCTTCTACCGCTCGCCGACTGGCCTCCTGTCGCGGTAGCCGTCCGGTCTGGCCACCTTGTCGCGTCGACGTCAGCACTTCTGTTTGCACTTGACCCAGCTGTGCAATGGCCGCGACCTGCTTTCCATTATAGCGTCCCCTCCTCTGAAGTTTTGTATTTGGACATGGAAGAAACACTGTGGCAGGAAAGGAGCACGAAGCTACACCTGTGCAACGTTGTTCTATACACCCGTTCATGTTAAATTTAGCTAGTAGACCTTATAATAAATTTAGCTAGAATAATTGAGTTGCACATTTTCTCCACGAGTCTACAACGAACTTTCGCAGCGTCACCTGGGTCGCTCCGGAGCCGGTCGTAAAGTTTTGCCAACGAGGTAACGGCCATTTTGGCAATCCAAGTTGCATGCTTACAAACCTTTATTCTCTAGGTTCGCGCTTTACACATTTGTATGTTTGGAAGGAAATCTCTGTCCTTTGACAATAGAGCTTGCCTTTCGGATTGGAAACCCCCTGTTACCTGTAGGGCGGGCTTTTGCACGCGGATAAAAAGGGCGCAAAACTTTGTGATCCTATCGCCCTAGCACATTACTTCGGCTTTTCCGTAAAACAGCATGACCAGCTGCTCTTCGGTAATGGGGCTGCGCCAGCGTTGCTTGCTGGACAGGAAAGATTTGTGTCGGCCACGTCGCATGAGGACGCTGGTCAGGGCATCAAGCACGTCCCCATCTGTCGACACTTCCGGGAAGATCCCCGACAATGTAAAGATACCCCCAACGCAAGCCGTGCCACCTGGTGATGCCAGGCAAGCAGCGTCTGCGAGCCCTTCTGGCCCTGCCGCTCCGGCAAAGCGCAAGGGTGCTTGGACGCCTCCGTATCCGAGCCTTGTGAACACCAAGCCGCTGCCAACAGAGGATGTCAAGACTAACATTGATATGTGATGGTTAAGGTCGGCTCTCTAAACTTGGACAGTTGGATGGCGTTTCGGACTTGCCTACCGGCCTACTAGCTGCAACGTTCTGGTGTGATGTTCTGGCAGGGAGCTTAATTTACGATAGCGCAGCTTCTGGGACGCGCTCGCCGACTCGTGTGGATTATCCGTATGCCGGTATGGATAAATAATGCGATTCGGTGTTGGCGACGTGTTACTTGCGAAAGTTTGTGGGAGTACTATTGAAGATTTAACAGGAGTTTCCTTCAGGGACTGTGTTTTGGATTGTTTATAAGCAAACGATTTACCTCATCTAAATCCCGTACTCCTCCCCGTGCATATGACCACAATAAATCATGCGTCTCTCGATGGTTTTAAACACGAATTTCCAATATGTGGCATGCGTTTTTCCCCGCTGCTGCCGCCCGTTGGCTTGCTGGGTCACGGGCACGGATTTTTTGGGGGGATTTTACAAGTCACAGTAGGGCCGTGGTGTAGTACGTGAAAGGCTGCGGAGTTTTCCAACCGGTGAATGTGATTTGCCCCACAACATTGATAAGGGCAGGCTGGTTTGAGGAGCGATAAGTTACAAGGGTTCCTGCTGCGAGGTTTTTTTTTTGTTTGGGCCCCTGCCTGGCCATATTTGCCATCCCGGCTCTCGTGGTAGCTCTGTCGTCCCAGTGTTGTGGCCGTCCGTTAATTCAAAGGATGCTATCTGTAAAGCAGCAAAAAGCATAGGCGGTTAAGAGCCGATAATATTTGGTCGAAATATGTCTGCATCCGGCATGTTGGATATAAAGTATTTTGGTTGGTTGGTGCTATCGATGTGCATATCCGGTCGTCGCCAATTTTTCGTTTTCTAGTTTAAGACACCAGTTTTCTGGTTCGGTGTGATGCCAATGCTACACGATTATGATTCGGAAGGAATCCTCGAGGCCGATGTAGCAACCGTGGGGCAGGACATGTGCAGGGAAGGTGTGGCGTTGTTGCTAGCTGCAAGCCAGAGGCGAGATGATTGTTACAGGATGTTTGTAAATGTTGGTCATTTCCTGGCATGCTAAATTCCTCTATCGGCGGATGTCGTTTTGAGCTCCGCGCCTCTGGCTACCTCAAATCACACCGGAATGTTATGCTGCATCTCTGTCCACTTCCAAATTTAGGGTGGCATCCGTAGCATCCGTCTTGGCAGCTGATTCACTTTAATTCCGGAGCGAATGTAGGAGTGTGTTCTCTCTAAAGCTTATGGCAGCCTTCCTCTGTGTGAGCGAACAGCGCCAGCGAAATGTGACATGAGTTACAGGGGGAGGCCGACACGAAAATGGTAAGGTGCGCCACCGGATCCGCACTGCGAAACGGGGCGTAAAGGGCACATGGGTTGAAAGTAGCAGTGCGAAGGTTATCCGCAGCAGACGCGCGCTTGACGTCAAGTTCCACCAAACGCTGCAGTTGATGCCTTGATCGGCAAGAGATGCCGAGCGGCAAGTGCGATGTGCTTTTGGCGGCTGGCATTTGAGAACTGGTGAGGTATATCAACGCAGTGTGCTACCGTACGGCAAATATAGGCAAGTCACTCCGCAGCAACCCCTAGAAGCTTGCAGAGGATAGCAGATGCTAGGCCCTTGAGCCTTCCCTGCATCAATGACAGAATTAGGCATACGGTTAGGTGTACGGCAGTCGGTAAGGTCGGTTCCGCGTACCGTTGCCCTGTTACAACTCAAAAATATTTGTGTTTCATATACTTTGTTTATACTGTTTGGCTCAAATAGCGTACAATTGTAAAATGAGAAGAAGCGATTATACGCTCGCGACAGCCGACGGCAAAATCCCAACAATAACACGCGCCATATCTCTATTACGCTAGGGACGAATCAAACTGGATTGTTTTGTAAATTCAAGTTCTGGGCACAAAGACCTCGCACGGTGACCACCAGCAGTGACCGTGCATGCACACCCAAACTGCAACATCGCTTGCTTCGTGGCCCGCAATCCTTAGCGCAAGTTCAGGATGCTGCGGAGCACTTGCGGCCGTGTTCGGCAAGGCCCCAGGAGCGCTGCGGTTGGGTCTTGCTGCCCGCTTCGCATGCTACGCGGCACTTTTCACGGTGCGCGGCGGCGGCGGCAGTTATCGCAGTTATCTGCCCGTACAACTCTCTTCCCATCTGCCATCTTACGACCCCCTGCCTGCTTCCCGTAATCCCGTTATAGGAAATCCCGTTGAAGGACTTCCCCCCTCCCCCTTCCCCGCCCCTGCTCCCATTCCCATTCGATCCTCAGAGCAACGCGGCTGCGATGGCGCTCTACCTCCGCAGCTTGCAACAACTGGCCTCCCTGCAAGCGACGGTGTACAGCAACGCTGCCAACATTATCACAACGGTACGGCATGGGGCCCCCTCTGTACGGACGACGGACTAAACCTCTTCATGCTGCCGTTGAGCTGGCAGGAAGAGAGATTCGGGCAGACACGCGGCCTAATCTACGCGAGGAAGCTTACGAATACTCAATATTTCCGGATCGCGAGTGTACGGCAAAAAGTACTAGGGAGGGAGAACGGCTGGCATTCCGCAATCCTGATTGTTATAGTTAAACCCATATTTCGTCAAGTCGTCAAACATCATACTTAAACCCTCCCACCACCAGCATCATTCACGAATACTCTGCCTCTCGGCCCCCCTCCCTCCCTTCCTCCCCTGTTCCGTCGTTAGGGTCTGATAGCCTGGTGGCTTTACGGAGAGGCCATCGGGCCCAGGTGGCTGCTCGGGGTGATCTGCATACTCCTGGGCCTTGCCTTCGTCACGGCGGCAGCTACGACGCCGCCACCGCAGCTGCTGCCGCCGGAGAGGTTGTCATCGCCGCCGCCGCTGCTACGGCCGTCAGCGGAACCGTCAGCTCCCCGGGACGGCGGGGAGTACGACCGCCAGCTACAGCCATCGCGGCGACGGCAGCGCCATCAGCATCGGCAGTGACCGTAACATCCGAACACGACTCTAAAGTACTTACAGCAGCAGCAGCAGCAGTAGCAATGACAGGGTCACCAGCAGCAGCAGCAGTAGCTGCAGTCGCCTGCGTGGGAGCAGTAGCTGGGGGTGTGTGGCCTCGTCCATGTTGTGGCTCTGCGGGGCGGCAGTGGCGAAGTACGGCATTGCACTCGTGTGGGAGCCCCCTAGGGCCCCTGCGCCCGCAGGGTGTGGGGGGGCGTTGGCGGACTGTCCGGGGAGGGGCAGGGGGTGGGAGTTGGGCGCGAAGGTCGACAGCGGCGATGTCGACAGCAGCGGGGGCAGCGGCAGTAGCAGCTGCAGCGGCAACGGGCGAGCGGGGCGGCAAGGACGTCGATGAGGAGGCGGCGTGCGGTGAATCTTTGCTTAGCGGAGGCGGTAGTGGCGGCGGCGCCGCCGCCAGTGCCGCTGAGGGGGATTCCTTGTTAGACGGATTGTCAATGGATGGCTCCGCCACTACCGCCCCGACTGTTACCACTACCTCCCCCCCTGCCGCCCCTCCATTCGCCAGTGGTTCGTCTTACCCCGCCGCCGCCGCCACCCTTCTTGGCACAGCCACTAGCCCCGCCGGCACCGTGCCCACCCCCGGACCCGCTGTCACCGCATCCCGCCCACAGTCACTCCTTGTCACGAAAGAATCCGAAGGTCTAGGTAAGGAATTTCAAATTTAAAACATTTTTGAAAATATAAATCAGCGCACTTGTGAACACCTACACAGCATACAATGTAAGATACGGCATGTCCCGTACATGCCGTACCTATCCGTGCCTAGGTTAATTTGAAAACTCACGAATCATCCTTTTACCGTAGCGAGCAAAGGAGAAAACGACAAAGGCGCGCGCTGACGTGGCAAGCGGAACTGAGCTAATTGAACCCCGTCCCGCAGGCCGGTTGGGTCGGCTAAGCTACCGCATGATTGTATCGTACGATGGTACGGCATACTGCGGCTGGCAGCTGCAGCCGTCGGCGCCCACCGTACAGCGATTCCTGGAGGGGGCCTTATGTACGGTACTCCGAGAGGAGCGAGCGGTATTGGGGGTGCGGGCCGCGGGCCGTACAGATGCCGGAGTGCACGCGCGTGGTCAGGTGTGCGAAGTAATAACAGCCCGAGAATAAATAAATAAATGCTATATAAATGTATAATCATAAATATAAATTTATACGTATGCGTGCTTGTGTGGGTGTGCGAGAGATAGATAGATAGATAGATAGATAGATAGAGAGAGAGACTCTGGCGGGAAGTTCGGACGCACGGTTAGCTGCCGTACTGCTCACGCGATGCCATCATGCCACTATCCACAACATTTCAAGGGTGTCTCATAACGCCCACTAACGCCCACTAACCACCATTAAACACCAATGACTGCATAACGCCGTGGCGATGGTGGGTTTACAAACCCCATGTAATGTCCCCCCCCATGTACTGTGCCGTACTACCGGACAGGTTGTTCAGTTTAGCTGCGACAAGGAACTCGACGTGACCAAGATGCCGTACAAACTGAACTCCGTATTGCCACACGACATTCGTGTACTGCGCATGAGCCGTACGGCACCTGATTTTAGCGTCACCTGCAGCGCGCTTGGAAAGGTGCGAAGATGTGTTGGGAAGGAGGCCAACATTAATGAATACATACATACAAACATACATACATACATACATACATACATACATACATACATACATACATACATACATACATACATACATACACACATACACAGACGCGCATTACGAGATCCCCGCCGGCGGTATTACACCTCTCCGTCAGCAATTTCCCCCAACTCACCTGGTAATGGTTTTATGCCTCGAACCTGTGTTTCCTCTCCTTTTGTACCTCCCTTCTCCCCTTTCCCCCCTTTTTTCTCCTACGCGACAGCCCCAAGCCTCAACAGGAAGCGGATACAGTTTACCTGTAGGGGGGGTTTACATCACATTCATCGCCTTTCGGACTCTTAACCTACGTCCCGCGCAACCGCTAGTAGTCTGTAGTTAGTGTGTATGTATGTATGTATGTATGTATGTATGTATGTATGTATGTATGTATGTATGTATGTATGTATGTATGTATGTATTCATTAATGTTGTTTGTTTGTTTTCCCTTCGAATCCCGTTTTCGTTGGTGGTGTTTTGGGGGGTTGTTTCAGAGAGCCTTTGACTTTGCCCTAGCTGAGACTTGTGGACTCGCTCTAGCGGGACCTGAGAGCCCTTCGTGGTGTATTTAATGCAGCGCCATCCCCGGATGGAGGGGCTGCGGAGTGGCTGCGTAGAGTGTTGGCAGTCTGAGTCGGGGTCGGGAGC